ATTCCATATTATTAATCATTAAAATTAATAACACAAAAAGGACAAATACATAATAAGAGAATCGGCGCTAAAGCGGCACCAGGAAAAGAGAGAAAAAGAAAAAGAGAAAAAAAGAAAGAAAGGAGAAAAAAAAAGGAGAAAAAGAGAGAAAAAGAAAACACGAGAGAGAAAGAAAGAAACAAGCAACCAAGAACAATGCTAATAACAATCGAAAACATAAACAAAACGAAAAGAAATAAATGGAGCTTAAGAGGGGAAGATATGGCATATAACAACGCGGAAATATGTCATCTTTGTGAACCGACCCGCAAAAACAAGTGCAAATAAACAAAAAAATAAAAACAAAGACAGATATAGACAGACATTACCAAATAGACAGACACGGAATACGAAAACAGAACAGAGAGACACAAAAAGACACAAAGAAACAGAGACGAACGACAGACACGAACACATAGAGATAAACAGAGACAAACCGAGACAACCCGAGAGACAGACACAAACAGACAGATACAGAGAGGCGCAAACACCAAAAAGAAACAGATTGGGACACACAGAGATGCACAAAATTGCACAAAGATAGACTGAGAAAGACAGAGATTACGAAATAGATAGATACGCACATACCGGCAACAGACTGGGAGACACAGAGAGCAGCAAAGATACGGAGACACCCGGCACGAAATTTTCGAGAAATTTCGACTCGGACCGGTCCCCAAATTTCCTCGAAATTTGGCCCGGTACTTTTTTCGGAAAGCCGCCAAATTCTGAAGAATTTTGCGGGGGTAACGTCCGGAAACCTAAGAGCCGCGTCGCCGGAAGCGACCCAAAATTCGGGAAAATTTGGCCGGGCTACGCCGCGGGAACTCTAAGCAAAGTTGTTAAGAACCCCATTTCAGGCAAAAATTCGGGGCCTTCCGGGCCGCGCGAAGAGGCGGGAGCTTGTGCCACGGAGAAAAGACCAAGTATAGCCGCTCGCCGCAAGCACTACGATTCGGCCGGAGTGCCGCTGCAACGGCTTGCCGGTGCATGCGCAATTACGACCTCAAAGCCGTACCGATTTATAACAGAAGAGAGAACCCGTTGATTCCATCAACGGCAATACCAACAAAAAAGCAAGGAGGAAGGAGAAAAAAGAGAGAAAAAGAGAGAAAAAGAGAGAGAGAGAGAAAACAAATAGAGAAAAGAGAACAAGAATGAGACAGAGGGAAAGAGAACATATATATTATTTATAAAAAAGCAATCAAAAGAAAAATGGAAACAGCTAATCAACAAAAAAAGAGAAAAAAGAGAAAACGAGAGAGAAAAAAAGAAAAACATAAAGAGACAGAGAAAGAAAAAGAGAGAGAGAAAGAGAGAGAGAGAGAGAGAGAAAGAGAGAGAGAGAGGGAGGCACGCAGGCAAACAAGCACAATTTAGAAACAATTAGAAACAAAAAGAAAACCAGAACGAAAGGAAGAAAGCGGAGCTTAAAAGGGGGAGATGCAGCACGCATCTCCCGCGGAAACAAGCGCAGACAGACAGCAAGACAAAGACAGAGACAGAGATAGACAGACATTACCAAATAGACAGACACGGACACACGGAAATAGACAGAGAGACACAAAAAGACGCAAAAAATGGAGATGAACGACAGACACGGATACATAAAGACAAACAGAGACAAACCGAGACAACCCGAGAGACAGAGAGACACAGACAGACAGATAGAGACCACCAAAAAGAAACAGATTTGGATACACAGAGATGCACAAAGATAGACTGAGAAAGACAGAGATTACGAAATAGATAGATACGCACATACCGGCAACAGACTGGGAGACACAGAGAGCGGCAAAGATACGGAGACACCCGGCACGAAATTTTCGAGAAATTTCGACTCGGACCGGTCCCCAAATTTCCCCGACATTTTGGCCCGGTAATTTTTTCGGAAAGCCGCCAAATTCTGAAGAAATTTGCGGGGGTAACGTCCGGAAACCTAAGAGCCGCGTCGCCGGAAGCGACCCAAAATTTGGGAAAATTTGGCCGGGCTACGCCGCGGGAACTCTAAGCAAAGTTGTTAAGAACCCCCCGAAATTTCAGGCAAAATTTCGGGGCCTTCCAGGCCGCGCGAAGAGGCGGGAGCTTGTGCCGCGGAGAAACGACCGGGACAAGCATAGCCGCTCGCCCAACGGCTTTCCGGTGCACGGGCAATTGCGACCTCGAGGCCGTACCGGTTTATAGGAGAAGAGAGAACCCGTTGATTCCATCAACGGCAATACCAACAAAAAAGCAAGGAGGAAGGAGAAAAAAAGAGAGACAAAGAGAGAGAAAGAGAGAGAAACAAAAAAACAGAGAAGAGAGAACAAGAAAGAGACAGAGGGAAAGAGAAAAATATATATTTATAAAAAAAAAGCAAACAAAAGGGAACGAGAAAGAAATAATGGGAAAAAAAAGAGAAAAAGAGAACCAACATAGAAAAACAAAAAGAGAAAAACAAAGGAAAAAAAGAGAAAAAGAGAGAGAGGAAAAAGAAAACGATAAAGAGACAGAGAGAGAGAAAGAGAGAGAGAAAGAGAGAGAGAAAGACATAGAGAGAGAGAGAGAAAAGAGAAAAAAAAAGAGAGAGAGAAAGAGAGAATGAAAGAGAGAATGAAAGAGAGAGAGAGAGAGAGAGAGAGAGAGAGGCACGCAGGCAAGCAAGAACAATATTAGAAACAAGTAGAAACGAAAAGAAAACCAGAACGAAAGGAAGAAAGCGGAGCTTAAAAGGGGGAGATGCAGCACGCGGCAACGCGGAAGTGTGCCATCTTTGTGAATCGACCCGCGGAAACAAGTGCAGACAGACAGAAAGACAAAGACAGAGACAGAGATAGACAGACATTACCAAATAGACAGACACGGACACACGGAAATAGACAGAGAGACACAAAAAGACGCAAAGAATGGAGATGAACGACAGACACGGATACATAAAGACAAACTGAGACAAACCGAGACAACCCGAGAGACAGAGAGACACAGACAGACAGATAGAGACCACCAAAAAGAAACAGATTTGGATACACAGAGATGCACAAAGATAGACAGAGAAAGACAGAGACTACGAAATAGATAGATACGCACATACGGAAACAGACTGGGAGACACAGAGAGCGGCAAAGATACGGAGACACCCGGCACGCAATTTTCGAGAAATTTCGACTCGGACCGGTCCCCAAACTTCCCCGAAATTTGGCCCGGTAATTTTTTCGGAAAGCCGCCAAATTCTGAAGAAATTTGCGGGGGTAACGTCCGGAAACCTAAGAGCCGCGTCGCCGGAAGCGACCCAAAATTTGGGAAAATTTGGCCGGGCTACGCCGCGGGAACTCTAAGCAAAGTTGTTAAGAACCCCCCGAAATTTCGGCAAAATTTCGGGGCCTACCGGGCCGCGCGAAGAGACGGGAGCTTGTGCCGCGGAGAAAAGACCGGGATAAGCATAGCCGCTCGCCGCAAGCACTACAATTCGGCCGGAGTACCGCTGCAACGGCTTGCCAGTGCACGGGACATGCGACCTCGAGGCCGTACCGGTTTATAGGAGAATAGATATATATATATATATATATATATATATATTACATATGTTATTATCATGTTTTCCTCTTTAACCTTTAACTTGATATTTCAAACATATTAAATATTAATAACTATATTATATAAATAATTTATAAACAACAATCAACTAAAGACCCTCAACCATCCCTACAAACATAATCCTAAGATTCTTACAAACAAACAAATTCCCTGAACAACGTCTTTTTCCATACCCAGTTCCAAGCCAACTAAGGAGGGGAAACACGAAAGGTGATATATTGTGCAGTCATTCCCCTAAATAATGCAATGTTTTCGGGACAAGTCTGGAGGCACGGTGCTAAAACCAAGGTACCCCCAACACCGTACAAATATGCATAGACCACCATGAAACAGACATGCACTGAGTGTCCCATATCAATTTATGCACCACGACTTGACTGGGAGGACCGGTCTTGAAACACAAGAGCAAAACTTTGCGAAAAGCGGACCGAAGTATGAAGCAAAACAAGCGAAAAGAGCGGCGAGAAGTCCGCGAGCGCAGCTGCCAATCAGGCAAAGGGGCCAAAGGGCGGACCAGGGGGAAGTCGAAGGGGGGGGGGACGATATTTCATTGATTTTGCGGCCGGGCTAACCCCCAAACCCCCTTAGCCTTGCTAACGCAAGGACAAACTCAAGCTAGCCTCCTTAAGGCTAATTTTCGTGAAATGGCGGCAAAGAGGGCCTTGAAGCTACTGAGATACATTGCTTTTGCAACCTTCGATTTAGGATACCTTTCAAGACAATGAACCAATGTGTGCGTCACCCGGCTGAGGCCCTCTCATTCGGATGGGGCAAAACCTGCTATCAAGCCCATATGCAGGGCTTCGTAAGTTTCTGGGCGATGGGCGAAGGCAGCAAACCTCGCAGCACTCTGAATCTGTCGAAGCAGGCGCATCCTGTCAGGCTGGACTCCAAAGCAACAGCCACTACGTCAATAACCTTACCTTGCACAAATACCTGCCGAGGAAGCCAGCAAGACCTGTCACCGCAAAGATAAACATACGTCAAATTCGGGGCACGGAACTTTATCGACTCTCAGTTTCCCGTGTCTTTTGGAGCACATCACAGCACATCCCAGCTTGTTATTTGCTTGTAAGAAAGATTCAAAGCAAACCAGGCAATTGCAGAGCCACTTCTTGCAGATAACATTCTGCATATCCTTTCTGCAAGAAGTATTTCTGCATATTTCTGCCCATGTACAACATAAAAACTATCATCAGAGAAGAGCAGGGGGCAAAGCACAGATTCGCGAGTATTGCAATGTATTTCAATTGTCCATAGTATTAAGTATAGATACTCATAACATTGTTAAATACATATATATATATATACATATGTCATATGTTCAGGTATTCCCACATTGTGAAGCAAGGCACGGTTGTGTACTGTTTCTTGTTGTGATTGATTTTCCAGGCAATAATTATTGATGAACTGTCTGATTAAGAGCTGTACATGTCCGTAAGCTTCTCGCAACTTCCGTGCGATGACGCTGCGGCTCGTGACAAAAGCGGGCCAAAACGGCTAGAGTAAAGGGGGCGGCCTTTGCCCGTTGGAGCCATGCTGTTGCCACGGCTGCCCCTTCTCCCTGAATTCCGGTGTGCAAAATCATTACCATTCCTTCGGACCCGATTGGACCGACTTTCCAGCGCCATTCTCATGGGAAGACAACGCTTCCGGTCTTGGACCTTGCGTCGGGGAGCTACCCACTTTGCTTCATTACATGAAAGTCTCCCCCTCCAGGTCCTGATAGGAGAGACCAAGGAAGCTCCCTTGGTAGGAGCCTCTCTAAAAAGACTCCTTCCGCTGGTTGATTTCCTGGTCTCCCTCTCAAACCATACCAAAAAGAGGTCCACATCCTGGAGGGACACCCATCATGTGAACTGTCGGCACGGCCATATGCTTTCAGCCAAGAGGCATGCACAGGCCCTCCCGAATAGCACCATGTGCTGCAGTGGTGGTGCCGCTGGGGCACTCGGTGCACTTGGTCAGCCCAAAAGCGTCGCCGTACGTGCCTGGCTGGGTAGGCTGGGCATGAACCATCCACTTTCACTGGCCAGAAAGCTCATATTTTTTCTCTGGGCCGTGCTCTGGTGAATGCCACTAAAACGCTTTGCAAACTCAACAGATAGGCACATTCAAGTGAACGCTCCTAAACAAGGACCAGCGCACTGCTTGAGAGCACGCCCGGCGCCTTCCGGGCAGAAGTGGCAGCTCGATTGGCCCACTCCGTTGGTGTAGTTGCCCACTGCGCACTTGATGCACAACTCGCTGGAAGCTGCCTGTGATGAGAGCCCACCCCCCCCCACCCCTTAAACGTTTAGTCTTGTTCTTTCGCACATCCCTCCACCCTCAGGTTACTCCCCTGTCGATGCAACAAGTCCTCACAACTGCGCAAAAGACATCAGCCAACCCAACACCGCGGCACGGCAAGCGTTGCAGCTGAAGTGCAGCAAGGATGGGCTGGTACGTGCCAGGGCCACACTCGGAGCAAATCTCCGAGCTAGTTGCACCTGGCCAAGGGCCAGCCGGCAAACCAGAAAAGGAGCTTTCCTTTCTGTTTGTTCGCTCAGTCTTTGCTTAAACCCAGCTACCATTAAACCCCTCAAGTTTAAAAAAAAAAAACGCACACACAACATGTGTTTTTCTTACTAAAGTGTGTTTAACATGACAAGGTGCTCAAGCTCACAGAGGGGACCCCACTTGGAGGCCACCCCCCCATTACCAGAAAACACGTCACTGCAATTTGCGCCAGGCTTCAGGCTTTCATCTGTTCAACATGGAGGGGCCAATCCTAATCCCCAACGTCACTGCAACAGGGACCCCTTGCGTAACTAAAAGGATGAAGGGTTACCTTTGAACAGCCCAGTTTATGGTTTGAGCGTTGCAGGATTTAGGGTCATTCTTGTGCTTGTCTGGTTGAGTTGATGCAGCTTGCGGGGTTGAGAGCTGGTTTCTTTGCGCTAAGCATTGACGATGCTAGATGTTTGGGTTTGCTCTGTTTGTTGTTTCTGCAACGATCCGGATATTCAGCTGTAAACTTTCAGGCCTATTTTGGGTTCACGTCCAGAACCCCCACCCCCTCAAAAAGACAATGAGCAATCTACAGAAGCTCGGAGGCAATGCCACATGCACACACATCACAAAGAAGTCATGTTAACTAATCATAGGGGGTCTCCATTGTAGAAAGACAATTATACATGTTCCGGCGTTTCTCTGGTTAGTAGTGGTTCTCCGGATAGGTCCGGAGATACCATTGGCAATTTGGGTTGGGCTCGGGCGTGTGGTTCCCACCTGCCTGCCCCTACAAAACAAAAACCAAAGTGGCTCCAACAGCGGTAAAGCAAAAACACACCACAGCGGTAGGCTGGGTGAGGCACACACATTTAGAAATCAATATTTTGGACCCACCCAACTCACATGTGTCAAAACGAGGGGCATCTCCTGGTGGTCGACTTCATGCCCTTAAACAAAGAGGGCTGGGGGCCGTGGCAGTGCACTGTTTGCTACATGTTGATCTGCTTGTGTTTTTTTTGCACTGGTTGGTCCCTCGCTTTGCTTATGTTGAGCTCCTTTTGAACAACTGTGTTCAAATATCAACTGATTTGTAAAGACAGCCCGGTTGGCAGGACATCCTGTTTAAAACTCAGATTAAAATAGAAGAAGTATTATTTAAAATATAATTCAAAATTTACATCCTCATTAAATTCGATTAAAGTTAGAATTTGAGTAGAATTTGAACACACAATTACGAATAATTTCATCAGGAAAGAATTCAGAAGTCCAAACATCGTGTTTTTGCCCAGCCCCCAGTACTACCATGGTTAGATAAACACACAGTGAGTTGTAGCGTTGTTCACACTAAATTCACGTCCTTACCAACTAAAATTCAGAATTTGAGTAGCAGTGAGATAGGACTCAATAAAGAGATACTTGTTCCGAATCCCCCTAGAGCTTAAATTCTAACTAGGTGTAGAAAAATAACTATCCTATTTCAAAGCTGTCCTCTTCAACAGAATCTTCTGTGCCAATCACTTAACATTTAAACGCAACTGATTCAAAAAAGGAGCTCAACTCAAAATTCACTTGAAACTGGAATTGTAAATAGGATCTTAAATTTGGAATGTAGACTGAATTCCTTGCCATGCCAATTAAAGCTTTATAATTCAATCTGTGTTTAGACAGAATATGACAAGGAACTAGTTACAATCAGAATTCATGTTAAATTAGAATTCAATTAAGACAGTCTTCTATTTTGCCATTTACGCAGGAAGCAATAGCATTTCACCTCGAACTACCATATTAAGCTAGAACTTTAAATAGCAATTCCTTTCGATATAAACAAATCCACCGGATGGGCCCTGCTCAAAGGAAAAAACACTCGAGAAAACCATGCAAACCAAAAAACACTCCCCCAGAAATCTTGGCACAGTGTCTGAGGATTGGTTTGATTTGTTTGTTTTGTGTGTTCTGCTTTTGGTGCCTCAAGGCTGTTTTTGGCTTTTGACAGGCTTGATCCAATGGAAATACTGTCTGAGAACTGTTTGTTTGGTTCTTGTGTGCACGTTTTAATTTTAAAGTGTTGCTTTTTGGATTTCTTGAGTGTTTCCCGGAAACACGGGAATGCATTGGGATCAGAACGGCAGAGAAGACAAACATTTACAAACATCTCTAAAAACCACAGAAGAACATGCAATTTACAAGTCCCCTGTTCTGCTAAAAGAAGGTCCCACGGGTTGGCGGCACAAGAACGCAACCTGGGCGGTGTTCAAGGGAACACCACCAACCACCTAAAACGCGCCCCCCTTCTTCGTTTTGAAGACCCACGCATCTTGGACCGAAACCCTTCCCTCCAAAGCGTTCCACAAGGACACCTCCAAAAGTCATGACCCCCCACCAAAAAGGAGCCAACTCCCCTTACTAATCAAGCAAGGGTATATAAATCCGAAGTCCCATCCCCCAAATCAAACCAACCAGGGCTTCTACTTAGATCTGAAGTAAACCACTCTAAACCAACCCTAAACCAGCCGTTACCCTAAACCCCAACCCAACCCTAAACCAAACCTATCCCAAAACGGTTCCCACCTCTACCAATTCACCCCTACCCCCCCCCCCCAAATCCAAAAACGAACCAGGGCTTCCACTTTGATCTGGGAACCCCCCCCCCCCAACCCCTACCGATGCACATGGATTCGCCGGCCGGCCTTCCTCCGTGCTGTAGGTCCCCACCGGGCAGCTGGTGCAGGTCTTGTGGCCGGAGGCGCCCACGGTGTCGCTCCAAGTGCCCGGCCGGCACCTGGGCACGATGCAAAACCTGTGGAAATGCAACCAGACGTCTTTCGTCTTGTTCTTCCTGCGGCGGTTTCCTTGTTTGGTTGTATGTCTCAGTTTTTGTTTGTGTTTTTGATTTTGTATGTTTTGTTTTTGTGTTGTTTTGCTTTTTGGTGTTTAGGGGGGAAGGAGCCGGGCCGTGCCTTTTTAGGTTTTTTGGTTCTGTTGAGTCCCTTGGGTTGTAAATCATTAACCCAGCCCCCGCCCCAACCCAACAAACATGGTTTGGCGCGGAGTCGCCCCTTGAAGGAGTGCCATGTTTGGCCAGTCACCAACCAGCGGTTTACAAGTCCATGATGCATGATGCCCTCTGCGAAAGCCTGAAACTTTTGGTGGGTTCAACGTAAAACCCCTTGTTTCCCCGAAAAGTTAGAGTCCAAAGACCCAAACAAAATAGCCATAAAGTGATGAAGCTTGTCATGACCATGGCCCCGGAGAAATGCGCAATCACCGCACGCAAGCGGGACCTATCAAGGCAAAGGCGGGGGGACACTTGGAATTGACATTTGGAATTGGCCAACCTATGTAGCCATGTCCAAACCAAAACAAAACCACCACAAAGCACTTTAGCAGAAGCTGTAAAAGCACCCAACGAAGATCCGAACCCAATCCCAGGCGCTTCGCACAGCTCTCACTGGAAATGGCACCACGGCCAGGGCTGAAAGTGCCCACGGGGCACGGCGTGCATGCCTGACAGAGCTGGGGTTTTGGGTCGCACGAAGTGGCGCGAGCCGCACGCGCGAGATGCGCAGAGCGAGAGACTCTTGCGCAAGATCCATAAGAAATCCGGTGCTTTGCCAGCGGATCTGCGAAGTACTTCTGATTCGAACAATCCGACACTTTGGCTTGGCAAAAAACACGGTGAAACATGTGTGGCAGATTCCACCAATCCCATTGTCCAGTCAAGATAAAATGAAAATTTCACACATGAAAAACCGGGCTTGGGATCCAGTTCAGTGAGCTGAGAAAAAGATTGGAATCAGCTCTCAGCCGAAACCACGAGGTCAGTGCTTTGTTGTAGCTATTTTGTGTGAGGGGATCAACTTTTCGACCCTGTTGTGGTGCCCCCCCGACCCCCCCCCCCCACCAAAAAGAATCAATCTGGGTCCATCCAGCTGCGCCACCCTCAACATTACCCCTCAAAATGCAGGTTGAATGGGGTTTCCCCAAGGTAACTTTGGGAAGCTTCCAACTCGCCCTTCAGACCCCGGAAAGCCTCCGACTCCCCCGGCTCCCCCGACCCGAGCCGAACTGACGCGGTCCTCCTCGCTGTCCGCGCCCACCGCATCGCCCCAGGTGCCCGCAGGGCAGGTGACGCAGCTCAGAGGCGCGGCGGCTCCCGCCTGGCACGCAGCACATGGCCCGTATAACTGTGGGTCAAATCCCAGGAAACCTCTGGTGAACATCAGAATAGGTGGCACATGGGTGTTCATCCGCCCCAAAATGGAGGCATAGGTTGTGACCCATGGCCATATTTGTATAAGTAGTATAATGATAACCTCTCGGAAGCCCACACGTGAGAATGCCCTTTCGCTTTGGATGCCAAGACCATATGCAACTAATGGGGGAACCAATGGCGCTAAAATAGGGGGGGCTCACTAAAAATTGGTGGAGTCGTGAAGGGGCTTCGCCCGTTCCAAAAGGCATGTCAAAATGCCCAAGTATCAAAATAGGGCCCTTTTCCTCAGCCAACCCACCCAATCCACCGACTTTGAGTTGTCAAACCAGCCAATGACACGGTCAAGCTTCTTCTCACCAACCAAGGGACACGTTGGCACCTGTGTCAGGCGGCCCCATGGCTGTGACCCTCTCCCGCGAGTGGGCCGAGCGGGACACACCTTGGGGTTGTAGCGGCCCGCGTCGCAGCTCACGCAAGCCTCCGGGGCTGCTCGAGGGGTGGCCCTCTTTTACGAAGAAATGGCTGTGGGTCAAAAATAGGTGCCCAAAATGGAACCCTGGTAAGTGGCAACATGGACCAAAACCTGTGGTCTGGTGGTGGTTTAATTTTGGCCCACACCCAAATGTGAGCGCCTCTTGTGGCAACCCCCCTTTCTATTTTTGGACCACGGCTTGGTGGCTCAGGGCTCCTTGTACTTCTCGTAAAACATCAGGGGTAACCCACCTATGTTGTCCTTTCATAAACTACCTGGTTGACGTTGGAAGGGGAGCAACAATTTACTTTTGTTAGCAGTTAAGTTGGGATTTCCCACTAAACCACAACAATCAAAAATGCAAAATGTTTCCCAACAACAACCATGCTAAAGCATCACCCCTACCAAGGGGAAACTGAAACTCAGCTATGGGCCAAACAACCAGGTGACGCTTAAGACTCCACAACGGGAAATCTAGGACTCGTCCCTTCGCTTTACGTCCGGGAGGCCGAATCCGGGCCTCTTCTGAGGTGGCCGCCATCTGCGGGCTCCACTTCCCAGCGGCACACTTGATGCACACGCTCCTCGGCGAAAGTGCCAAAGCAACCTCCAAACCCGGGACTCCAAGGCCTAAATACACAGCCGCAACAAAAGCAACCTTGCAAAGGCAAACAATTATGCCAACGGGCGCTTTTTACAGGCACACCAAAAACTCTGCGGCAAACGTGACAAACGCGCTGTTTTTTGCCTTCCTACGCGCGTGTGCGCGCAGAGTCCTGGGCGGGTGCAGCGGGTGCACTTGAGTTTGTTGTGTGTAAAGCGTTTTTCGTCATATTTGTTTTGTAACTTGAGTCAAAACGCGGAGAACCCGGCTTGCAAATCGCCGCGGTCGTTGGTTGACATGATAAGAACCCCCGCTCACGCGCACGAGCCCAGCACTGCACACACACACACGCCTGCCAAATGATAAGACCCCCTCCCATTGATGTGAGCACTGGCTTGACCGACCAAACGTGGACACAGATCCAGAAGTTTGCCCCTGCGCAATTGGCAGGGAGTGATGTCTGCGGAGGCATCTACACGTGGCAGCGCTTGAAAACCAGGCTTCGACTTTGAAGAGGGCCGTTTGTTGGCCGAAAACGCAGGGCGCCTAGACGAAAACGCGCCTGCAAGCACGGCTAGTAGATGTATGCTTAAAACATGAATCAATACATGGACGAAATGGTTTGCACACAAATGAAGAAAACAATAATTAAACAAACAATTCAACCAATAAATCAATAACCATACTGATACACACTCCTGGTTTTCCCTGTCATACGTAGTGGCAATCATCTTAGTCTATATGAGGAGTGGACCTCCACATCAGGGGGACCCACACTGAGCCAATAACAGGCTTCTATGACTTTCGGCAATGCGCTTGAATGGATCCACGGAAGTGACATCCTCAGAATTTCCGAACCTGGTGAGAAACCACCGGGACAATGTTCACTCTGTCAAGACATTGTTTATCCAATAAAAACCCTTCTTGGAAGAGAGAAACCAACTTGGACATTTAACGGACCCAGTGTGGGTATGTCTTTTTGAAGGTGCCCTTGTTGTGGCTGCCAAGGCAACCAAACCAAAACCATTTTGGGGCCTCTCCTAACACAAACGCCGCTACACTTTATAAAGGATCCTTTATCAGGGCTCCTTTAGAAGGAAGCCTTTTGAGGAAGCTTTATATGGAAGCTTTATAAGAGCTGAAAAGCAAACGTAGAGAATGGTTTGCGTCACGAAGCGGTCTAAGCCTGGCACTCGCTGGTGGCGCCTTGTTTCCCACTCCAGGTCCCGGCAGGGCATCGCTGGCACCCGGCGATGGCGCCCACGCCGGTCCTGGCGTTGGCTCGAATGGAATCGGTCGCTTTTTGAGGGTACCCCCTTTTGCTTAAGGTTTTGAAGGGAAAGCAAAGGAAAAACAACCGTTTTGGGGTCCACTAAAAAAGACACTCCCAAAGGCTGGCAAATCCAAGGCGGGGGGCGGGGCGCGGGTTCTCAAACAGGCGGACCACGTTTTCGATGGGTTTTCAAGGGGCGGGGGCACAAGGAAACAGGCCAGTCTAGGGGTTCGGTATTTTGAGAACGGGTTCCAGGAATTTTCGCGAGGAAGTCAGCCAATCACACATCAAAACACTGTTGTGTTGGCTGAGCTTCCTGTGGCATTTCCTGCAGCTGGACTCATAGAATATGTCACCAACGAGGGTTTCCCAAGAAGAACAGCTTCATCATAGAGGTAAACAAAGCTCCTTCGTATCCCCTTGCTTTGCCAAAATAAACTGCTGGAGCAATGTTCATCCCTGGTGGCATCCGCTTAAGGCAAACTGCACATCGATGAGCCCACGCTCTTCGGCTCAACTGAGAAGCCGTCAAAAACACACGCAGAAGCCAAGAATTAATGATATCTCTTGTAGCCTGCACGTGGAAACCATGACACCGGGGTGTAGAACCCCTCGCTGAAATGGTACAACGCAACCTACAAATCACAAAAAAATCAACTAGTTTGCAGAGAAACGATGAACAAATGACGAGAACCCTCGCAACATGAAGAACAAATGATGAACAAATGATGAACAAATGATGAACAAATGATGCAAAATGATGAAACATGATAATCAGAATGATATCCCAAATATAAAACAATGATAAAAACATGTTCTCACCGAGGTCCGTCTATGGCTGTCAAGTTCTCATAAGCTTGGTAGCTTGGTAATTAGCTTGGTAGCTTGCTTGCTTGCTTGCGGGCTGGAGACGAACATCCGGCTACAACCTCCAGCAAGAACAACGCCCCGCAATTGAACGCACACCCCCAGCCTATTGCTCCATCGCCCCTCTGGGCATTTCTGGCAGGCCTGGCAAGCAGCTTGCAGCCAGCCGGGAGCTACAATGTGCTGAAGCTGGCCAGGATCGCAGCAACCGGGCCTTGAGTAGTTGTGCCAGTTGGGTAGGTTTTCCAATAACAGCAATCACTTCTTCTCCAAGCAATATGTGTCATGACGCTACTTATTGTTGTGGCAAAGAGAGACCCCTCCCTTTTTGCAAGAAAATCCCATCCACCCCACCCCACCCCACCCCTCACCTCAGGGGAGATGGCGCCCAGCTGGCTGCTCCAGGTCCCCGCCGGGCACATTCCGCAGCTCTCCGCACCCCGCTGGCCCCGCAGGTCGCTCCAGGTGCCTGCCTCGCCTCAGCCGCGGGGGTTTCGGGGGTGGGGGGGAGCGTGGGTCGCGGGTTCTCAGCAGAGAATGAGGGAATGACCTGCAAACCATCCGTCATTCCCAAAACCCTGGGTCATTCCCTAGACAAAAGCAAAGGAGATCAAGGGAATTGATGAACAGAGTACCTTCAAACCAAAGATTCAAAGGATCGACTTCGAGCACCCCAAGACTAGGGACCTTCGCAAAGCATAAAGGGAAGACGCCCGAGCCAGCCAGGTTGAAAGCAACTTGGATTCTTCCCCCCCTTTTTCAGCTTCTTTCCAGTTGACTTGGATGGGTTTGGCGGCTGGGGGTGGTTTCCCCGTTGTCCCCTACAAGAAGTAGAAGCTCAACCCAAGCCAAACCACCAAGCGGTCAGCTGAAGGTGACTTGCCGTCAACCCCGCCGGCCAAAGGCTCAGCTGAGTTTCGGAACCCCGTGAGCAGGGATCCAGTGCCTTGCTCATGGCGGTGTCCCCTCATCTTTTTGCTGGAAAAGGCCGTGTTTTTCACATGGGCAGAGTGTTTTTTTTTGAGGGAGCCCTCCGAATTTGTGACGCCCGAACTTGTCAGGCGTAGCGGCACTGGGTGCACACCTCCGCGCCCTCCGCGCTGTAGGTGCCCTCGGGGCAGATCATGCAGGGGCTGCCGCGGACCTCGAAACCGCGACGCTCCGCGACCCAAAGGAGCGGCTGATCAATCGCTGCTCGGGTCCCAAAGCTGGCCTCATCATTTTCCCATCAGCGTCACCCCTAAAGTGACGTGTTGAAGAGCAACAACCCCAGCTTCTGAACTTGATAACCCCAGAAAGAGTCAACATAATGACCCAAGCTAAGCCCAAATCAATCAGTAATATCTGAGCCATGGTCAAAAATGACTTTTCATTCCCAAAAGACACGGCAAAAATGCATGAGCCCGGTTAGCGGCATCCCCGTGACCGAACCTCCGGCAAGTTTTGATCTTGCTGATGAATTCCGAAAGCCACGGTTCCGAGAGAGCCTTCCTGGGTTCGGTGCATGATTCTTTTGCCCAGCTGGCTACCAATCGCTGGGCATTGGGGAAGGGGTCGACATTTCGAGAGTGGGTTGGCAAAAGACATCTCGAAAAATCAGCTTGAAATAAGCATCATGTTCAAACATTGCAGAAGTGAGGAACGGGAAGCCAACACACAAAAATCAAACAACTTTCAAATGGGCCTTTGTTCACACATCCCCTAAAAAACAATGTGAACATTACAGGTAGGCCAGCCTGCAAACCTTCAGTTCGGTCAGATTCCATCTTAGTGGGCGGGAGGGAAAATCCGGTAAATCTGTCTGAGGTTTGTCAAGACTCCGAGTTGCTGCATTGAGGTGACCCCTCCCTCACCCGCACCGAATGATGACGGTTTGCTCTTTCCCATCTGGCCGACTAAATGCCCTTCCACGTCAAAATGAGCTGGACCTACAGTAGCGACGTTTTGGGTATGGCATGGTCTTTTTGTTGCAGGATTCCCTATATATCCCCTGAAAACCTACCGTACATGGGTGATGGAAAGGCAAATATGGTACTAATTGGCAGGGGTCTGCTCACTGCACGCCCAAAAGGCTGGCTTGCCATACCCAGCGGGGCAAGCGCTCACCACTGCCGGTCCAACCAGGAAGGCAATGCGAAGCATCCTGTTGTCACCTCGGCCAAGGAGCCTTTTCTTGCACTGCTTTACGGGTTGATTACCTGCCCGTTGCAACCATCGTTCTTTCCCATGGGAAGCAGATGCTTTCTCGGTGCTTGGTGGCTTTCCAAATCACACAGCGGAAAGAATCAGGAAGTTCTCCCTAGAAGGCCCTCAAAGAAGCATGGAGTTGGACAGGGGCATTGAACATTGCGAATAGCCCGCAAATCAGGCACCGCCTGCCCTCCTCTTCAACTGGCACGCTGGATTTGAGCAACAAGGAGCTGTGCCCCTGCTTTGCCCCTGCTTTGCGCGCTGTTTCATTCCTTTTTTGTTTGGCCTCATTCAGGCACGAATTTCACGGCCAGCCCAAAACCCGAGCCCCACGTAGCATGCCGAAACGTCTGGCCCAGGCGCCCCTTAAAAGCGCGCTTTGCGTTGGATGGCCTTTCTCTGCGAGCCAAAGGCGGTGTGGCGGGCCGTGTCTCTTTCGCTAGTCAAGACGGGGTCCGCCATGCATGGCTTCCCTTGCTTTGGCTCTACAGGGAAGAGGTTGCAAGGAAACAGACCGCTAAATGTCGAGAATCAGCACCAAAGTGCTGAAGGACCGAGCGCTGCGGCCAGCCTTGTTTTACCTTTGGGCGGAGGTGCCGCGAAATGTTCCGTACATTGTCCTAGAACGCTTCCCACAAGTTTGGAGCCCCCACGAGTGGCTGAAATCCTTCCACCAAGCATTTGGGTGAAAAGGCCATTCGGAGTAGGTCGGCCATGCCACGGCTGGTTTATCCTTTCCATTTAGCCCAAACGGGGGGCCCCAAATTCAGGAACTGCCCGGCATGCGGAAGGATCCTGAAGGAGCTGAGGTGCCGACTCCGGAAAATCCGGGATTCGACGTGCCGCCTTCCACACTTTAATAATTGGATATGTCTCGGAGCCACGGGGGAAAAAAGGCATGGCACTCTCGCTACTGACACGTTAGTTGGTTGTTTGGTTTGGTTGGCTGGATGGATGGTTGGAGGACTGGTTGGTTGGTTGGATGGCTGCTTGGTTGTTGGTTGGTTTCAGCTTCACTGACGGCAATTTTCCGAACCGATCTTAAACCACAAGTCCTTGCCCTGCCTCGGATGTGCCCGCGGCGAAATCCGAACCGCGCACATGCACCAGGTCAGCGACAGCCGGGCCCTAGATGCATCTTACAAAATGCTAAACTTTGCAGATCAACGTGCAACAACCAAAAATATCGTTTAGAGCAATCTCCTTTTCGGTGACCTTTTGTTTTGTTTGTTCCATGTTAAGTTGTAGGGAGGGGTAAGTATTAGTCTTCAATGAATACCCGACAGTACTACCACCAGGAACCGATAGGGGACCAGTCAAAGCCAATACCCAGGACATTTATTGTCTGTTGCGCACACAGGGAGTTGACCTCCACCTGCCATTTTTCAATTGGTCACATCTGGAATAAGTACTCTAAAACTAATATTCTCAATGTCTGTTGCATAAATAATCACCTTCCCCCAACAAAAGTCATACAGTTTTGGAGGAGGCCCCAGTTGGGGCTTTCCCCAATTCCATTTATCTAGCCTTTCCCCGAAACAGGGCAAATGGAACCCCGCATGAAATTCCAGGGGTGGCATGGTACCGGCCTCCCCCAGTTACATTTTGAGGGACCCGGCGCCGGTGGGGATAGGTGTTCCTCATCAAAAGTTACATCTGGCAATACGCCGGGCCGTCGGACCGCAAATTCAGCGTGCCCCCGCACGCTGGCAGAGCACAGGTCGCCATGTGCCATTTGTGGCAGATGGCTTCCTGATCCGTAGGGCTGCCTGGTCCCTGAACAGGTGTGTTTTAAGGTAACTGTATGTCCCATCTTGTTCCCCACACATTGGCGCGTCTCAATGAATAACTCAACTCAAAGAATGGGACAGCAGCCTCAAACCGATTCTCCGGAACTCCGGACCTTCCGCGAGCCCCCGGCATGGCTGCCGGGGGGCGCGCGAAGCAGCGAAGCACGTCGCAAAGAGATCGATCCTCCCCAGGACCTGACCTGGCGAAGTGTCTCAGGCCTGGTGGAACCACAAAAAAACTGGTTGGCCGAGGATTTTATTGGATTCTCTACCCGATAGCGGAAACAAATGGCAAAAGGAAAGCTCCGGCAAGGACGAGCCCCAACTTTTCCCAAACGGCACGGCAAACGTCTTCAACCGCCCTGACCAAACCGGAGTCACACCGCAAAGGATCTCTGCTTCCTCGGCTTATAGAACCGCCTGGGGCACCTCCGGAGCGGGTGGCCGGTTTGCCGCTCACCCGAAAGCCGCCCCAAGGGTGAGTTTCTAGCTGCTTTCGTCTCTTACCCCCGGCCTCAACCCAAGAGCTCAGCCAATGCTGCAGCTGCTGCTCCTGCATGCCGCGCACCTCTGAGACTGGGTTCACTTGGGACCTCCTCGATTTTTTCCTACCGGGACGCCACGATCACGAAATCACGAAGCCGCCCGGCAGAATTGTTCGGAGCCAAGAGGGCCCCGCGAGAGAAACCGCCTTCGGGGGGTGGTTCCCTGCATGTTTGGAACACTGGCTTTCAAAATTTGCGAGCGCGAGCGGCCGCAAAGAGCGCCAACACTGCCACTGCCAAGTAACCTCATTTGTTGAATGGGCAAGAAAAATGTGCTACATGTTGGTTTTTCACTAAGATGGCCGTTGTGCAGGGTACCAAGCAAGCCCAACAACTCAACAATTGAGTAACCAAGGCAAGGGCCTCAGAATTAGCCCAAAACCCCGACTCTGGCCCTCTCACCTTCTCCTTGCGGCTGGCGGTCAGTCCTGGGCGCCATCCAAAATGAAAGCCACCCTCCCTCCCTGCCCCACACCTTACGGCCGAAGAGCGCCGCATTTTTCACACCGCCGCAACCTGTGGTCCAAACCGCATAGACCACATCTAACTCCTGGCTAGTCCTACCACTTGGCACGGTGACTGCTTTCTCTCAGCAGCACAGCAAAGACTGTGCTCCGTAAACAAACCCCTGTCTAGAAACAGCCGCGCGGCCAACTTCCTGCTGCAGCACTTGTGGCAGTTTCGGACGGAGCCTGGGCCTCAAACGCTTGTGGCCGATTCACTTAAAACATCTAGCAACCTCGTTGCTATACAAGTGTTGCAGCGGCATGCCTGGCCTTCACTTGCAGGCGATACAGTAGCGGCTCCAATTGGGGCAGAGATTGGCCCATTTGGCTGTGGGTCAAAACCAATGGTACCATTTTGGGTTATTTTCGTCTATTTTAGTGGGGATTGGGATGTTCACTGGGGGTACGGAATTTTGACCCATGGCCATTTGAAAAGACTTCCAGCACCTCATGCTGCCGCTTTGGCCTTGGCCTTGGCTTTGGTCTTCGCCTGCTGCAACGCGCCGCCACGCACCCCAATAAGGTGACATCCTGCACATGTCCCTCTTTCTGGTGGCTTAAAGGGAAACCATCAGTTTGTTTAGGCCCCCACCAAAAAAATGCTACCACAAACATACCGTGGATGGACGAATCCTGCACCACTTTGAAACCATGGTTGAAACCATTGTTGCTGGTAGTATGCTCAGGGGTGTTTCCTCAGAAACAGCGTTTCTGAAGGGTGATGCGAAATGGATTTCGCGCCCATCCACAGTAGGGGATGGTCAACTGGATGTTAGACAACCAATCAGTTCCGTGATTTAGGGAACCGTCCAAAACCCCAAAATGCGACCACATGCGACCACGAACATGCAGCTTTCAGGGCTCCGGTACGACCGGGCCTTGGCTTTGGGCGTCGCCTCCGGGCTGCTGGCGCCCTCGCCCTCGCCCTCGCCCTCGCCCTCTCGGGCGCCGCGGTCCCGCTGGATCTGCCGCCGCTGCTTCGGCCGAACGAAGTCGCCTCGGGCGTTGGCCAGGCGGGGAGGAAGCTGACCATGGGGTGACTTCATGAAACAAGATCAACACTTTCGGGGTGAAGGCATGTGCAGAAAACAGGAAGCAAAAAGCTTGGGGGTGACTAAATGAGTGAAGAAAGCAGGAAACAAAAAGCTTGAAGTTGTCCAACTGGGCAAGAAGATGCTCGCATGAGTGAGTGCCCAATAAAGGAAGCCGAGCAGCAAAGGGTCAATTGATCCGACTCATTGTACATCATGGTCACCAGGCTCAACAGCCTATGAAACATATACATGGCTCCAGGCAGCAGGCAGAGGCAACTACTAGACAAGCACACCCTGCGTGCTTCGGCTTGCCCAAGTTGTGTTTTTGGTCTGCGGCAAGTTGTTGTGAATGCCCATGGTGAAATGATGAACGGCTGCGGAAGCAGTGCAAAAGCACGTCCATGAGTGACGGAGAACAAACACAAGCTCATCGTCATGTCTGGATGGTTGGAACCGAAAACCCCTCAGGCCTCTTCCCATCTGCCTTCTTGACATCACGGCTTTTGTCCTTCATGGTGGCAGAAATTGCTGGGCTTGGCAAATCTGGCTCGCTTCACATGGGGACTGCTGGTCATTCATGCACGCCCTGTCCGTCCTTCTTGACTTTGATATCCTGGCGGGGACAAAGGCTGCAGCGACAAATCAGCACACCGCGCGACATTGGGCATGTCACAACGTTGAGGTCCCTGCTTCTGAACGGGCACTCCCAACGATTTGGGCGTGCAAGCTTGCACTTCACAAGCCCAACCCCGCCATTTCTTTTTGGGGCTGTTTCAACTGTTTCTGTTTGGGGAGGTCCATCAACCACCTATGTCAAAAGCGGGAGACCCGTTGGTTTCCCTTCAAACCACCCCAAGAAGGGTACCCATCAACAAAAACACAAGCCCAAATCAATTCCCCGCGCCTTCAGAGGCTTTGCCTGAAAGGTTGCCCTCTTCGGCGCTGGCTCCGCCTTCGGCTTGGGCGACTCAGGCGGCTGCAGCGCCTGCGTCGCGTTGCGAGGAGTCGCAAAACCCTTAACTTTTGGTTGGTTGGTGGGAAAACACATCTCCCCAATAAATCAGAGGCCAAAGATTTATCCAAACCGCAGCCAGGTTGTGCCTTTTTCAGGAGGTCGGGTTTGGTGTCTCTTCTCAAGTTTTGAGACCAGTGGAACTCAACCACATCCGGCCACAAAGCCCTGGTAAATCGCAGTACACCCGCATATGTGCGCCTGTCTTTGTTTGACGGCACCCTTTCGGGGCGTGCTTTTTCTTTCTTTTTTTCCCGGGGGAAGCCGAAGGAACGCCTTTTCTTTGGAGGGGTCGAAACCATTTTGCTCGTCATCTCTGCGGCCTCCTTGGGCAAGACCACTGTCAGGGTGAAACGTCCCTGGCGGACCTCAGGCGCTGGGTTCCGGGGGCAACAAACCTCGAAGTAAAAGGTGATCACCTGCTAAAACCTCAAAATAGACCAAGGGAACACCAAAGGTCAAAAGGTCGGCTTCGACTTGGACTCAGATGAAATCACCCCACAAAAAGGGTAGTGACATCGCTTTGGACTCAGATTCGAAGCACCCCCCAAAAAGGGTTCCCATACAGATGGACAAAATCCTGAATCAGTTGGGATGGAAGAAGCCCACTAAACGGCTTGGCTTGGCCAGCTCGACACGAAATTTCTGCACTAGAGGTGTGTAGCAAAGTCGAATTTCTGGGAAGAGATGAGCTTTGAAAGGTGTGTTTCGGGACGCGCGCGAGAAGCACACCTAGGTGCGGCTGCATGGACATCTTGCCGTTCCTCCTTAATCCAGGTGTGCAAGGGAATGAGACATAATGATACATGTGCATATATGTGCATAGGTGTGTATATTGTGTATATGTATACTGTATATAGTAGACATATATCCACACACACACATATATATATATATATATATTATATAGGGAGCCTAGCATGTCTCAAACAAACGGCTACTTGAGCTACTAGTAATTTGCTTCTTGCCAATTTACGCACGCGTTCTTTTGGGGCCGGGCGCCTGCCAAGGCCTACCCAACTCAGCTGGGGCCTAGGGCAGGCAGGCTGCCACTCAGGGTCTGGAGGTCCTTCTTGAGATCCAACTCCTCACGATGCTGGCCGAGAGGCGTTCCAAAGCTACTACCGCAAGTGGTGCGCCTGTACAACTAACCAGGTAAGCAAGGCCATGAGCGGAACCTTCCATTTTCGCGCTTGACATTTTTTCGCAGGAGCATCTGATTCCTGCGGATGGCAAAGGGCTAGACACCAATGAACAAGCCAACTCATATAAACCGCGCGCACGTGTTAATTTCGCGGCCAACACCGGGGCGCCTTGCCCTCCAAGCTGCTGACAACCCGAGCCTGGCCAATTCAACCTCTGCACCAAGCAATAAGGCCAGCATGCTTGACGTCTGGACAGTCATGGCCCTCACCCTCTTACGTATGGCAAGTGCCTGGTGACCATAACTACTAACCACTTAATTATGCCCCTTCAATTCGTGTGCGCCAACGCGTGCGGCCGAATGAGCTGTTGCTTAAGAAACGCACGCCTGCGCCCAACAAAGTGAGGCCCTCTCACATCAAGCTGTTTACCAGCCAGGCAACCGTCAGAAATGTCCCACTGCGCAGCGAGTCAGCCTGAAGCCATAGATGATACATTGCGGCTTCGCGGGAGACAAAAAACATGAGTTGAACATCCATCTATCATCATCTATCCATTTAGCTCATGTAACCTATTCAAATATTCCACAGGCACAAGATTTGAAATGCTCGCATAAGACTAGCTCTCGACCGCCTCCGCGGGCAAGGGCCGGCCCTGTAGTTGGCCACCGGCCCAAGCATTCAACACGTCCCGGAGGATGGCCTGACGCGAAGCTCAAGGCGCCAATGGGTAGGTGCCCCCTGTCTGTGGCCTTCAAAAGGCAGCCAAAAGGAAAACCGAAGCCATTTTCGGGGCGTCCCCTTAAAGAACTAAGGTTGCCTTGGACAAAACTCCTGCGGGCCAAAAGCCATGTTGTTCCTTTGGAAGGGGGGGCACCAAAGAAAACGTGGGGTTAAGTGTTTAACCCCTTTGTTCCATCTTTGTATGGAGAAGCTTGGGGTTGTGATGGGCCACCCAAGAACTGGCTTTGCCGAAAGGCTATTTTTAGTCGTCCCCGACTCAACAAAAACACACACACACTCTCACATGGAATCCTTTTGGCTTACCAGCTGCCGCAAAACCTCAAGGACGCTAGGACTCCTACAGCCGAAGCCCCAATGGACCTCCTTTGGAGAAGCCCTGCCAGGCTAAGACCTCCATCCAAAGGGGCCTACCATCCCAGTTTGGCGCTTCCGGCTTGAAGGGCGGTGAAATGCGGTGAAACAACCTGCGCCTTCCTTTGGCAGCCCAAGAAAGCCAGTTCTCTCAGTGCAAGGGAGCCTCGCCACAGCTGGTCCGTGCCATTTGGCCGTTTCTTGGCGCCTCGAAGCATGTGTTTGTACGCATGTAGATAGAGAATCCTTGGTCACGGAGGTCCGGGGGATCCCAAAGTCCCCACATCTCCGTCCCAACTTGTAGCCCCGTGTGGGTCTTTTGGCCATGGCAATGGACTTGCTTCCGGCCGCTGATGTGCATTGGGACCCGGCCTTCTCCTGGACACATATCCCAGTGCTGGACACCTGGACATGGCCCAAAAAGCGGCGCCGTTCGAGAAAACGAGGCTCGTTGAAACAGTCGGTTTGCTGGGCTGTGCAAAATGGAGGGATCCACAATCTAAATCCGTTGGAAAGCAGAGAGGAAGGAAACAGGGAAGGATTCAGAGAAAGGATAAGAAAAGGAGCCACAGCCAGGGCTTCTTTTGGGAATCCTGGGCAAAAATCCAAAAGCAAAGGGCCCTGAGTCACTGAGAGTAAGCCGCACGCCCGCACCCTGAGGTCTGGACGGAGTGCTCCCCAGGCACCATGCACCGGATGGCCAGGAAGATTTTCCGGTTTAGGGAAAGCACCCCGCTCCTGGCGGATTTGCGTTCGAGGACGTGGACCGCCGATTGCCAAGCATTTGTAGAGAAGCTTCTTTGGCCAAGGACATGGAACTCCGACTGCCAAGCATTTGTAGAGAAGCTTCTTTGGCGGGGGGATCTCATGCTGGGTTCCATGCGTTTATTTGCAGAGGGGGGTACTCGTACTGAGCGGATTCGCAAAGCCCGGCCTTTTGGACTTACTGTGCTTCGTGGGCGTCTTGCTCTTCGTGGGCGTCTTGCTCTTCGTGGGCGTCTTCTGCTCCTTCCTCACCTTCTTTTGCTCCTTCTTCTTGGATTCAGCCCCCATGACGCCTTGCAACTTCGCGGAGGAAAAAAAAAAAAACGGGGCCCGATGTTTACAAAACTCTGATCGATAGCTCCGGAACCGCTCCCTGCTTAAAAGTAACTTTGGATAATCCCGCTTTTTTTAGTGGACCCTTAATAATAAGCCTTTTAAGCACTTCCTTGCAAAACCAAGGGGTCCCACTTGTCCAATTGTAGCCCAACAATAAACAACCCAATCTGAAACAATTCTGGCCAAAAAAACCGGGGGCCCCCTCATGTTTAAAACCCTCCGAGCTGTTTTTGTTCGGGGAGGGGGGCACGGTTTCTTGCTCGGCAGAAGGGGGAATCCCCCTCCGAGCCCGGCCTCCAGCCGAACCTCGAGGCCTCGAAGATCGGCAGCCCGCCGGATGCCACTCAGCTCCCAACTGGCACTGGCTGCGGCACGAGTCCACGTGCGACAGCCGACTGCAGGCGTCAACTGCTCTGGAAAAAATATGAAACCTACCATCCCGCCATTGGTCCCCTTAAGCCAAATTAACATCGTGAGCTACTTAGCACCCAGTGACATAGTCGAGACCTGAGAAAAAATGAACCAGCATGCAACCATTGCCCATGCTGTTTGCGCAGGCCCACGCGCGGAACAGCATTTAGCAATGCATGTGATTGCACTGAAGAATTGTTTGCATGCACCGAGTCTTTTCCCAACACTTGTCGAGTGCGAAGGAATGACAGCCCAGCACATGATGCATGCTAGGCAAAACAATCCACAAGCATGTCTATCTCATAATGTCACTTCCTCTGCTAGGCTTTAATCCCGCAAAGCCATCATGATCCCAAGGTGTTTGACCGCACTCAGTCGAAGCATTCATGACACCCCAGCTGTTTCCTGGCATTAACTCCATCTCCATGTCAGCACTTGACATGTTCCGACTGCCCCACAGCGGCTGAGCCGCTGGAGAACAATTACGACACGTTCACCTCTGGCGGCGTGTCAAAACCTCACTTCTTGAGTGGATTGCCCACAAAAGACCAGACTTGTTGTTTGCCATTGTCTTCCAACAAATCACAAAGTCCAGGAACTCAGGGAGTGAGAACAACCTGTGTTCACCTTCAACCCAGGTTGAAATCCTAAACGCGCCGTGGCAAACTGTGTGGCATGTATTCAAATCCCACTGCACATGTCAAACGCATGTCTCTGCCATTGCTTCTTGTTGCCCTTTGGCAGACCAATTGGCCCGTCTGCTTTGCAGACGAAACCAGTTCCTAAGCCACTTGTGAGCTGTGCGCCAGAGCCTGCGGGCACAAGCGCTCGGAAGTTTGTTTTCCCTGCCAAACCGATTTGGTCCCGCAGCTTACCGGGGCAACCCGGGTGTCTTTTTTGGCGCATCCTTTTTTGGAGATGTGCTATGAGCTTTCAACCAGTAGCTGCACGCAGCGCCCAATGACCCAATGCAAGCTGACCTGGAGCTCCAAATGCACAGCTTGTCCACATCTGGAAGGTCCCTGTTGGTCCCGCATTGAATTTGAACACTGGTTCTACTTCAGCAAGATCCCTATTGCCTTCAGGGCTTGCCCGCTGGTACTCCAAGCAAACACGGGGTATGCGTGATCCATGTTGGACACAGTTTTGCCCCGCTGCGTCACAAGCATTTTATCACCGTCGCGCCCAACCCCTAAGAAAACAGGAGGCCGCTTACATGCGCAGGAACCCGTTGACGGTTGCAGCTTGGCTTTCCAAGTGGCAACCTTTCAGGTCAAGGATTTCTGCTTGGCCTCGCTAAAAGGCTGGACCCAATTGATGACCCAAAAATCGCACGTCAGCAGTGGGCAGCAAATATACCCGTAGGGCATGTGGAAGTAGCCTCGGTCGCCCCACTCCTCACCTTGGCGGCCCACTGCCCAAAACTCGAGGCTTGTGTGTTTGCGAGCTAGTTGGAGCTAAGCATTTGCTCAAAAAAGTTAAAGCTTCGCTTTAATTGGTGGTTTCGATTGGTGGCTTGGTTCAGTCTATCGGTTGTGGTTTACCATCTACCCACAAAAACATCACCTGAGTGGCCAAATCCAAGCCGCCCCAGAGTCCAAACCACAATTTGTTGGAGTAACCTGAGCCCCAAAAAAAGCTGATCCCCAAAACCACCAATTTTTGAGCAACCTGAGCCCCCCCCCCAAAAAAAAGAAGAAAAAGCTCAGGTGACATCCCCAACAGCATGCGGTGCTCTTTTCAGTGCTCGCCGTGGAACCCTGGTAAAACCCTCTGGTGGATGGAACCTTACCTCAGGCCGGACCCCGGACCCCGGACCCCGGACCCCGGACCCCGGAGCCTATCTGGGCTGAGACCCCACTTTCAGCTGGGGAAAAAACACAAACTGCCCGGCCAGGCCGCCCCAGGAGTTTCGAATCAGAAAGGTCCGCTTCGCCTCGTCGAAGCCCACGGCCACCAGAGCGTGGCTGCCGCGGATCCGGTCCCCCGGCTGGGGCATGGCCATGGCGCCCGTCTTCGCCAGCTCCGCGCCCATGAAGCTGTCCTCGAGTTTCGGGCTTTTTCGGGGCGCGTTCTTGGGGATGTGGGTGTGGGTGTGGGGGGGGGGTTGGTGTTTCCTGTGTTTCGGCTTTCTTGGCGCTAGGTCCTCCAGATTTGAGAGCTTAGAATAAGTCGGTACCCAATGTTTTTTCTTTTTAGTCTATTTTAGTAGGTCTTGGCGAGGTCCATTTGGTTTACGCCGCCTGGAAAATCATATTTCCAGTATTGATAGATTCCCTTTCAAGCCAACATCTAGGTCCTCCAGTAGAGAGGATAGAATGGGGGTACCCGATGCTTTTTCCTTCATCTATTTTAGTGGGGGAACGCTCCCCCCAAAAAAGGGGAGAGAAAGGGCACTACTGGGGGGGCCTAGTAGTGGGATGTCTCTCTCTCTCTCTCTCTCTCTCTCTCTCTCTCTCTCTCTCTCTCTCTGCCGCTGCGTTGAGGGATGTGTCGTTGTAATAATTTTTTTAGGGGGTGGTGTTTTTGTGGGTGTGTCCTGATTTTTTAGGGGGTTGGTGCTTCCTGTTTTTTGTGACTGTACCCTCCCACCAGCTGACATGGAAGTGCACAGACCCCTGTAGAAAGACTACTTTCCTCTTGGAAGGGGCCTGTTTGCACTTCCATGTTGGTTGGTGGGAGGGTACTGCTTTTAGGCGGTTGGTGTTTCTTGTGGGTGTGTCCTGTGCTTTTAGGTGGTGGGTGCTTTGTTCCTCTTGGGGGTGTGTCCTGCTTTTTGAGGGGACATCTCTCTGGTTGGTGCTTGTGTTCCTGTTGGTGTTCCTTCAAAGTCAGCCACAAAGAGAGGGGTGCCCTAGAAGAAAGACACACACACACACACACACAAACAAACAAACAAACAAACAAACAAAGGGTACCTGTTGGACCCCAGTTTCGATGGTTTTCTTTTGGTTTCCCTGAAAACAAATGCCCGCAAAAGAGGGTACAGTACAGTAATTAGCCTTGCTGGGTTGGAAATTAGGCCTGGTTTCCCATTTGCCCTCGACAAGGAAAGGGTGGCAAACCCCAAACCATCAACCAGGGTTACCTAGTGCTCCCTGGATGTTCAACCCAAAAACGTCACCCTAGAAAAATACTCACTTTAAATTGAGCCAAAAGCTAATGCTTACAACCACAAAAAGAAGAACTATGGAAGGTTGGGAACCATGTAACTGGGCCAAGCCTGGAAAAACAAATGGACAAAGGTCAAAAGCTCTGCTTTGAGCAACTGAGCATCCAGCACGACCATGAGAAAGATAAAAGGAAAGCCATTCCGGAGGCAGTTCTTCAGAGACTCCACATCTTGCGCCACCCGCGCATAGCCTTCCACTTTGCACTTCGCTGCCTGGTCGTAGCACTCCTGTGACGGCTTCTGCCTCCACTGAGGCACGCCACCCGAGTAGTGCAGAATATAGGGCCACATGTCTTCAGAGCACACGCCCAGCTTATGTAGGACTTTGATGCCATCCCGCAGCATCGTCCCGGCGTTTTGATCTGTCAAGCCCTCCTGGGCACGCTCGTTGTACCAAATGAAGAGGCGGCTCGGCGTGAAGTCACATCCGTCCCCCAGCTGCTTGCGCATGCTAAAGTGGTAAGCTGCTGAGAGTGCGTTGGCAGTGCAGCTTGCCAGAAAGCCCTGCGTAAACACGGGGAAGCTCTCATACGGTCGCAAGTCAACAACCTTGGAACAGTGTGCGAGGGAGTCGAATCGCAGGAAGCTTGTTAGCAGCAGTAGTCATTGGAAGTATGGAGCAGAAGCGGCTGGGGCCGCATGGATGCCTTGGCCACGTTACATAACACGTTGTTGTTGTTGCAGCCCCCTTCTGAAAACGAACAGAACTGCAATCGCTGAATCACTTCTTCTACATACCGAAGCCACTACCCCAAAGCGCATCCCCAATGTACACCGGGTAGTGGACAGAGGGGAGTGAAACCAATCCTAGACACCTTCAAACCCTCTTCAAGGTACCTTTTGGGTGTGTCTAACAGCCCGGTCTCCAAAATGGCCGACGTCAACCCTCTAAAAACAACCTCCTGACAACAAGGCAGCAAGACATGACCAACCAACCAACCAACCAGCTCCTTTCACCCGAGTCTCCAGCCAATGGCCAGGGTGCTGTGTCTGATTTTGCCGGGAACTCCAGGTGCAAGTCCCGGTGGTCTGGTGTGTCGCGTCGGCAGCTCAGCCGTGGGTCGCGCCTAGAGACCACCTCCACCTCTGTGGCCTACGGTGCGATTCAGCTTAACAGGGCCTACGGACCTCCTTGGTGCAGCGCCCACAACTTATGGACATATTTGGTGGGTTGGATCCATTTGCTGTGCTGGACAAACAGCTTGTTCGGTGCAGGGCAAAAACTTGTAAATGACTCAGCTTCAACATTACCGTCATTTGCCTTATGTAAAAGTGTGCCATGCACATGTTGGTTGCTTGTTCTCTCGAAAAGCGAACCGGGACGTCCAAATAGATGATACCCCAAAACCTGACAAAAAAAAATGGAAAACGATACTGGACATTCTAACGTCGGACCCCAGACAAACTGTTCTACGCTGACTTACCTGAATAGTTGTCCCAGGGTCAACGATGCATCCCACAAAAGCCACTTTACGAGGATTCGGATCATATAAATTCAGCCAAATATGTGTTTTGCTAATTGGGTATGGGTCAAAACTAAACCACCAGGATATGGACCTGTTTGTTTTTCCTGTCCATTTACCAAGGATCTATGTTGGGGTTCCCCGTTTTGCACCGGCCAATTGGCCAACGATCGGAGCCGGGTCGTGGCCTCCGTCTTGCAGCAAGAGCTGCCCATGGCTCAGTTGGACGGCGGGAGTTGGGAGTAAAAAGCTAGCAAGGTGAAGCCACTAAGGTGTGTGCCGTATTGACGAACCAAAGGATGGCAAACAAAGAAGACTTCGAGAAGTAAGGGGTCGGGTACGGTAAAGCACCTACATCATAGGGGGGGCTCACCGAAAAATCGGCAGAAACATGTCAGACAAAGCCTGGACTGGCTTGGCAAACGACCTTGGCCAATCCCCGGATGGATCCATTTCATGGGCCACCCCATCAAATATCGAATTGGGGGGTGGGGATATTTCCTAAAACCAAGAGCCAAACTGGTTTTCTCCAAGGCTCTTGAACCATGCGGCGCAGCATCCGTGGCGAAGTGGGTTTGTTTGGTTCTGTTTGGGGGGATCCGTGTTGATCCGCATCGTTTTGCAGCGCCTTCTCTAAAATAGACTCGCCAAACATGGGTATGTACCTTAAACGGGCTACCCCAAAAAAATGTGGTTCGCCTTTTGGTTCCAACCTTGAAACCAACCTTGACAAGTGGTCCCTCCGAAATCCACACACCCACATGAAGGCGCCAGGTTGTGTTGCGCACCTGAGCGAAGGCGCGATCAAACCCGGTCGCCGGCAGGCCTCGGCCAGCTATGTCTCGTCCAGCCTGGCAGTTCTTCACGACGCAAACACACCGCTTCGCCCGGCACCGAGCCACGTGACTGTCGGGTTACTCAAAAATGGTCCCCTGAAATGGCCTTGTTTGGGCTTTGCCTGTACCAACAATTTGAAGCGCAGCCCCCCCCCTTTTGAGCAACCTTCCAACACGGGAACCATGAGTCTCCCATGATGCGCCGTGTGTCAACATCTGGTTGGTTGAACAAAGCCTGCAACCAACCCTTCCCTCACTTCCTGACACTCAGGAACTGGCCCAACAAAGTCGAAACTATTGCTTTGCCACTAGGGTGTTCAGAAAGAAACACAAAGTCCAGGGACTCAGGAGGCTGAGAATTCAATCGGCTTGCCTGGCACTCTCGGCGCGGGATTTGTACAGCGCGTCTGCCTCCTTCCTCAGCTCAGGCTGCCCAGGGGCCAGGCCAGCCAACTGCAACAGAATGCAACAGATACGGCAAAGTGCAGTCGGGATGAATACCACCCCTCGATCTGGAAAACGCGCTTCCCCGAAGACGGAACTAACACCCCCCCTCCAAAAACAAATAATCAACACCAAAACAGAACAAAGGAAACTGGTGGACTTGCTTTGAGGGAGCTTCACCTTTCTCTTGGGGGGGGGGGTCTCAGGGGTCACAATTTCCCCGAGCGCTGATCTTGACCGCTAACCAACACCCTGGTTCGAAATGGGGGGTTACTTTTGAAGTGCCCTTAAGACTCACTGACCAAGGTTTCTTTTCACGCCCTGTTGACGTGCCACGTGTGGGGGAGAAAATCAAGTCCCAACCTGCTCGATCCAAGACGCTGTGCCCAGGACTCCAGAACCATCTTCTGAGCCTCGTCGTTGATGCTGTGCCAATTCCTGAGACGAAACAAAGGCGGGGGCAAACCGAAAGATGAATTCCTGTCAGCTTGGGACATAAACACTGGACAGCTCCCTTTCAAGCCCCGCTTCGTGTGTGTGTGTGTGTGTGTGTGTGTGTGTGTGTGTGTGTGTGTGTGTGTGTGTGTGTGTGTGTGTGTGTGTGTGTGTGTGTGTGTGTGTGTGTGTGTGTGTGTGTGTGTGTGTGTGTGTGTGTGTGTGTGTGTGTGTGTGTGTGTGTGTGTGTGTGTGTGTGTGTGTGTGTGTGTGTGTGTGTGTGTGTGTGTGTGTGTGTGTGTGTGTGTGTGTGTGTGTGTGTGTGTGTGTGTGTGTGTGTGTGTGTGTGTGTGTGTGTGTGTGTGTGTGTGTGTGTGTGTGTGTGTGTGTGTGTGTGTGTGTGTGTGTGTGTGTGTGTGTGTGTGTGTGTGTGTGTGTGTGTGTGTGTGTGTGTGTGTGTGTGTGTGTGTGTGTGTGTGTGTGTGTGTGTGTGTGTGGGGCATGCTTGTTGAGGTTGATCATGCGCTTGTTTTAATTTTAGGCGCCCAAAGCAGTTCACAAAGGTGGACATTTTTTTTGCGCGTGTCTCTACATACGGGGCCCGCCGCAAAGAGGGATCTCCCTCTAGGTTTCCTGCTTAAACTAGAGGGTTCAAGCAAAGACGCACCCAAATGATGACCTTTCAGGCCACTGAAGCTTTGCACCACATGCAGTGACATGGCTGGTGCATCCAAGGCGCTCATCCATGAGAGCTCGAACCTGAAGGGCAAACAAGGCGCTGTCCAATCCGACAAGTGTCTTTGTTGTTGCAGGGGTTGCGTGCGGAAATGGCCGCTGATAAGTCCGGCACATGTGAGGCGCAAGCCTCCCCCCCTCAGTGCTGGCCAAGTCACAGCTTCGAGGAACTCCCAGAAGTAGAGGCTCCCTTTCTTCTCCATGTCCACTGCCAGCAAGATTTCCTCACAGGATCTCACCTAACCCCCAAGTCCCCGGCCAGCAAACGCATCTCGTCCACACGCAAACGCCCACAGCTCCATGACCTGCACTTAAACTGGACATGTCAGAATGAGGAACCGAAATGGTTGTCTTTGGGTTTCCCGGTTTCCCATCTAACCATCCGAAGGGCACACTAAAAACCACTTACCATCTGGAGACCTTTTCAGGGCCCCTCACCGTAGGAAGCCCACCGACTGTCCTGAATCACGTCTGAAACTTAGCTCGAAAAACAAAGTCTGTTCAATTATAGCCATGTTTACCAACCAAATGCTAAGTACCCTGCACCCCTACCATGTCCTTACAGCTCTCCTGGTAGCTCCTGAACATTTGGATACCGGGTCCCAGCTCCGGAACGACTCCCTTCCAACACCAGCTATGCCATCTCAGAGTTGAACCGCTATTACAGAAAGGACATGACAAAGGAATGGACGGACAGCGGATGGAAGAGATTGAATGGTGGGGAAAGGTGCTCAAGACCCTGATATCCAGGCTATCACCTTTCCATGTTGTTCCACTCGTTCCTTCTCCTTTCCCAATCTTACCGGGGCCCGCTTGGTTGACGTTGGAAGGGGAGCAAAAATTAAATTTTAGCAGCTAAGTGGGGATTTCCCACTCAACCACAAGAAGCAAACATGTACAGCGTTTCGCAACAACAACCATAGGGGGGAAGGGGGGGGGGTCGCAAATAAATCGACTTGCCAACTTCCGACCGCCAGCGGCCTGCAAGGCCTCCCTGGTCAGCTCGCTGACGTCACCGGTGATCCCCGCCAGCATCGCCTCCACCTTCCCCCGGGAAATCCCCCCCCCCCCCGACCAACGGGGCCGGGCCCAGAAGGAACGGTAGAGGAAACCAAAGGATTCTGAATACCCTTTTGCGGGGGGCATAAGGAGGGCCCTTAGCCCTCATATCCCAAAATCCGGACAGAGCTAGGAGTCCAACCCCTCCAAGTCACCATCCCCCCTGTTGCCCCAAAGTTAGACCCTGACAAGGCCTCTATCTCGCAAAGCGTCCGGCATTGCTCCCTCGAAGGGAACGGCGCCCCGCTGAACCGCCAAGTGGTAGGAAACCAAATGCCAAGTGCTTGATCCTAGAGGATGGTGACAGCAAAACACAAATATAATATAATGCTATGGGAAACCCCATGTCCACTTCTATGATTGGAAACAGGATCCTCCAGTTCACGCATCTGCCCGAGATCCTGGCCGCAATATAGCTCAGGCATGGGATGGCTGACACCTCAAAGTGACGATTGGGTGATACTGCGGATGGACGAATTCCTGCACCACTTTGAAACCATGGGAACCCATTGTTTGTTGGTATCTGCAAGGGAGGTGTGGTTCAGGATTTCATCCATCAACAGAATTGGGTCTGTCTCCTGTCTTGCTCTCTTCTACCCATGCTGTGCATATTTACCTGTCTGAATGTCTTCCTCCTTGCAAGCTTTCCGTCGTTCCTTCTTCATTTCGTTCTGCCGTTTGCTCTGGATCAGCGAGGCCGAGTGCCCCACGTTGCCCAGAATGGAGGTGCACTGCTCTGACGCTTTGCCTTGGCCCCGGGCCGAATTCCCAGCTGGCCTTAAAAAATGGGGAAGCCTTTTTTAGACTGTCCGGCACCCACCAGGTCACAAAATAGATGAACAACGTCATCGATTGAACAAACATCCTCATTCCCCAAAGGTTTGCTCACTGCAGGGGGTGTGCCGGAACAGGGGCGCTCAAAAGCATCCGCAAATAAGCTCAGCGTCCGCGAATCTGAGACCGCAGCTTTTTTCCTGCAGTGCCACTCCGTGGAAGATGGTTCTGAACCTTCCACGGCGAAATAGGTCAAGCCGCATGGACAAAACTGATTTGGGAGGCGAATCCGACCGCAGGTGCTTGTGAAACGACACCTTTTGCCGTTTAAAAAAATGCCGGGGAGTGCATATTCTGCAAATGTGTATTTAAATTTGGGGGAGGAACTGCTACCATCCCCCCGCCCCCCCCCCCCCCCCAGCATGGGAATGCCATGCTATGCAGGCTGAAGGCTTAATGACCATGCCTGGGTCAAATTCCTTTGTCAGCACGAGCACAGGACGCTTCCGCAAGGCTCTCGCTGGCCACATGACTTTTTGCCGGCTTTGGGCCGGTCTTTAGGCCGTAGACGTGAGCTAAGTCTGAGCCGGGAAGGATTGTGGTCGCCTTCCTCGTCAAGCAACAAGCCCAATGGCGGTGTTCATGTCTTCTGTTTTTTCGGGGTGAGGCGCAGTTGTGTAGGGATTCAACATGAAACCATCGCTTGAACCTCACGAACTGGCTCCCATGCCCGATGCAGCGCCAAAGAGCCGCAGCTGGCCCAAGAAACAAAGCCCGAGTCACCGTAAGGTCTTCACTAAAAATACATGTTTAACAACACTCTTCACAAGTACTGTGCTTCTGTTTTTTGGTTGGTTTCAATGCAACTAAATGCCGTTCTAACGCCCGACTGGCTGCTTAACATTCCAAGACGAGAAGCCGCCCGGACCAAAAGTTTCGCTCGGCCCCAGGCTCCGTGACCTCCGACGCCACGAAGGGCAGCCGCTCCAGCGCCTGGTGCTCCTCCAGGCTGCGAGGCTCGCGGCGAACTCCCCCCCGAGTTGATGGGCTCTCGGGGCACGGATTCCTAAGGTGACCAAAAGGAAACCAAGCGGCCGGAAAAAAAGAAAAGAAGCAGCTGGAATGGGAAAAAAAGCCAGCAACCAGCCAACTACGAAAATTTAGTTCATAGAGAAAGTTGGTTAAAACATTGGAAGTGAAACCACCTCGTTGTCCGCAACCCTTGTGCCACTATATGGGTCAAAACGTGGACCCCCCCCCCCAAATGGCCAGGGTTTCCATTCATTTCCCTTAACAACCAACCACCACTTTGAGACCCCCCAGACGTGTCCTAGGGACTCGCAAGCCGCGCTTTGCAAATTGCAAGCGTCCCTCCGGCCTCATTGAGCTTTGCCTCGGCCTCCCGGTCAAGGCACAGCCGGACCAGGTGCAAGAACTCCTGGCACGTCGCGTAAGGGGCAACGGGATTTCCTCTGCAGGAATTGATTGACAGCTGTTTGGTTCCATGCACCCTGCAAATTGTCAAACTCCACAAACAACGGTAGTTCGTTTCTTTCTTTTTCTTTTTTTCTTCTTTTTTTTCCGATCGGAAGTGTTTGCTTGACGGCGGTGGCCATCCGCGGGGATTGTCCTTGCGATGCCATCAAGCTTGCCCATCGCGGGCCATCGACATCAGCAACTCGACCTAATATCCATCCCCTGTTGAAATCTCGGCTTCCACTGAATTGAGGTTGATGCCCTGCAGGTGAGGCAGAACTTGCAATCGGGCCAAGCGGCTTGATGATGAACCCACCACTGCTTAAGCACCCCCCCACCTACAAATCAATCAATCAATCAATCAATCAATCAATCAATCAATCAATCAATCAATCAATCAATCAACCAATCAACCAATCAACCAACCAACCAACCAATCAAACAAACAAACAAATAAACAACAGCACACCCCCTTTGCAGCTTCCATGAACAACACGGGCCAGTCTCCTGGAAGTCCAACTCCTCGCAGGCACGGCTCTTTGTCACCTGCAAAGGGGGTTGGAAAGCGGCAACTCGTCTGTGCCAAAGTGGGTGCTTCCCATCACTAGGTCCTCCAGTAGAAAGGTTAGAATACGGGTACCCTTTTTCCTGTAGTCGATTTTAGTAGGGAACCCCAAAAAGGATAAAAGGGCACCTAGATCACTATACGTGTTATTCTCTTTAAAGGGGATTCTCTTGGTAGACCCTAAACCAGTGTTCCACTTTTCCACAGCCATTAAGGCTGAGGATGAGCTCTAGCCGCTTTTGAGCGGATTTGTTTGTAAGGGCTGGCCAAAAACTAGAGCCGCCAGGGTATAGAGCGCCAGAAGGGCTTGGATCAAAATGCTTTAGACTATACATCATGAATCTCAAGCATTGTGATAAGATGACAATCATTTGCTCCTGGCCCATGGTTCAAACCCGCCCATTGGCACCTGTTTGATGGTCTGATGCGCCCGCTGCCTCTCCAGGCGCTCTTTCTCGGCTCCTCCGCACCGATTCGCGCGAACGGATGGATCCGGCAGAGCGCTGCGCCGCAGCGCTTCGAGCGCTTCGCCGGGGGAGGGGGGTGGGGGAGGGGAGGGGGGAGGGGGAGGGGGTCGTCGTAGCAAGTCCCCTTTGAAAGGCGGCAGGTGCAAAAGCATCCCCCCTACCTCATAAAAGGGGAAATGGAACCATGAATGGAATTCCAGGGGTCACCCCCCTCCCCCAATTATATTTTTGAGGGGGGTGAGGATGCAAAAGCGACGCCGGCCAAGGCCACCCAGGCGCTTCTGGCCTGGGAAGAGCTGGCGCACCGCGAGGCTCAGCTGCTTGCCCTGCCATGAGCGGAGCGCCGAAACCTGCGAGGGGTCCTTTTCCAACAGACAAGACGGTTTGAGTACTTAGGTATCCTCCCTGCCTTAGGGGGGTGGGGGGTCCCCCAATTCCATTTATTTACTCTTCCCCACAACAGGGAAAATTGCACATAAATGGAATTCCAGGGGTCACCCCCCTCCCCCAATTCCATTTTGAAAGGGGTGGGGATACTTCGGTATTTGTCCAATCTTGGGACCTACTCCTTGGCTGATACCAGTCATATACCTCTTTTTGGGGCCATGACAGTCGCGAGTTCCGGATGCCACTTGACCAAAGGCCTGCAGCGTCCCAGCTGGCCTGGCACCGGGCAGTTGAGGCCCCAGTTTTAAGTGAGCCAACGTCGTGCTGATCTTCCGGGTCTGGACCGTGAAATTTCACTTCAGTCATGTCCTCCGGAAGGGGTTCCCCAGCTTTCATGGTTCTTGCTTCCTAGATTGCACCAGGGTCACAGTGGCAATGACTACAATATCCTTTACAGGACACCTGGGAGCTCCTTGGCTTCCTCTTTAGCAGCAAATTTGGATACCCCCTCGCCCTGCGACATTTCGCCCAAGACAAGCCCCGCAAAGCCGCTTTCGCAGCGATCTAAGAATCAGAACACTTCACCAACCCAAATTGGAGTAAGGTCTGCAATGAACCTTCGCCTAAAACCTCCTGATCGGCCCACGCCTCATCTCAAATAGTCAGCGGCTGTTGCCCAAATTTGGGATTCAGTTGGTGACTTCAGCCCCTGCGTCACATGTGTTTTTTGTCATAGAAACTAACACTGGGATACGGCCGGATCAATCACTCCACAGCCCTAGTACTCTGCACCGCGTCGGGCTTTGAAAGCTCCAAGGCCAATGCTTCAAGCCGTGGGCCAAGTGAGCCAGTCGCCAGGTGCCCCCAGCGATTGTTGCACCAAGCTCAACCGCCTCAATCGCAGTCTCGGGAAAACAGGAATTCTTCCCCGGCATCACTTTGAACGAGCCATTGCATGTGACTGAAGCCAACACTGGTGTGGTAGGACTCATCAAATCCTTCCACTTCATGCCATGTTCGAGCTTCGAACAACCGCGCTTTCCACCGAGAAGGGAAATCCACCTGAGTCAGCTTCAGCATTGCATGCTCTCGCAAAAGGTTTGGCATCTTCTCCTTGGTCCCAAAGCGGTAGAAGAAACGGGCCCCGCTCAGGCCACTGTGACGTCGACCATTCAACAAACACCAAGCCTCACCGGCCCTCTGCACCTGACTTAGCTCCAGATAGCACGCGTCTCTCCAAGATCGAGCCACGCAGGCGGCACTGCCTAGGCAGCCCAGGTCTAGCAAGGAAAGCAGCTGTCGCAGCAGGCCAAGGTCCAAGAACTGTTCGCTCAGATGTCTTGGACAAACCTCCCAAGCGATTCCAGCAACTGCAGCTCCTGTTCCAGCCTTCAGCACATAGCCGGCCATTGCCCATTCAGCTAGGGAGCAACCCAAGGTTTCGACACAAGACAGCTGGGACAAATAAACTGCCGTGCCAGGCGAGGGGCAACGGTGGGCTGGCATAAAGATCCACAATTCCTGATTTCTCAAATACTCCACTCCCGGCGGCGTCCAAGTGTAGTCCAGGCTGTCCTCTCTATCCACTCCGCTTTCTTCTCCCCTGAAGCGGGGCAGGGCCATTGCACAGAGCATGGAGCAACTCGCTTCGAAAGAAAAAACCTCAAGCGAACTCTGGCCGTGGCGAGATACTATGACTACGTGAGGGGCCGCTAACCCTGTTAGGCCCTTGTTCCCGCAAAAAGACGAGGAAAGGCTCTTAGAACCCTCTTAGAAGGGGTCTTTTTCCCCAGTTGCCCCAAAACACCAGAAATAAAAGGCCGACCTCTCGGGATGGCGAAAAAACTTGAGCAACACGAGGCCAAACGGCCAGAGCTTTCCGGTCGCTTCGAGCGCCAAGGCGTCGAGGCGTCGCCTGGCCAGCTGCTCGAAGGCCTCCTGCAAGCCCCGCAGCTCGGCGCGGGCGAAACCTCCGAGAGACGCTGGAGCCGCGGCGTTCTCAAAACCCAGGGGTACGCAGTGAAGGCCTAAAAACTCGTGACAACCTACAAAAATACCATAGGATCTGACAATTTTGAACAATCACATAAGTTGCAAACACTGTACCTGAATGAAATGGGGTCGAGATTTGAGTTGGGAGTTGTTTTTTTTCCGTTGACATGGCCTGCCCAGGGCCCAGGGGCCATGTAAAGGACTAAGAAGGCGGCGAAGGCGCTCGCTCATATTTTGTGGTTGGGACTGTCCCCTACTCGCGTGCATCTACCCGCATTCTGATTGCGGCTCATGTTGACCCAAGGGGCCAGGGGGCCTTCCGCGGTTCCCATGTTGTTTGCATCCTTCTGCGGTGTATGTCTTACAAGTCTGCAATGCAAGCTTCAAACCTGTGCTGCTTGCAGTTTCAAGAATGAAGCATGTCCCTCTCCCCACTACTACGCTCACTTGTGCTAAACCATGCAGACCTTAAGGTTGCTGGATGCGACATGTCTGGAAACCTCCATGCCCCTGTTGCTTGTGAACCACGCCCTTTCCTCTTTTCCCTGGCTGAAAGGGGTCTCCGCCCATCTTCGGAGCAGGTGTGGGCTGGGGTGTTGGTGGCTGTTGGGGATGCCTGCGCCTTGGGGAGACATTCGTCAGGGCCAACCCCTCAAGCTGACTCAAGGCGTCCAAGGCTTCCGGGCCAAAGTTCTTCCGCACCTCGTCGCGGACCTGGAGACTTGGAAGGCGCGGTTGCCCGGCGCAGCACATCCCAGCAGCTTGCCCGGCCCGTGTTTCCCTGACACACGAAGAGAAAGCTTAAGCTCACGTTGAAGGCACACCTAGCTTCTGTATGGCAGCCTTGCCGGATTGCCGAAGGCCAGGACACTTTTTCAAAGACTGTCAGGTCAGGAGGAACCCTTGATGCACATCCCGACAGTGCAGCCTGGCCTTGTTCCTGTGCCGACGGAGGACTTGGGCCACGCCCCACACATCCTGAGCGCCAATTTTCTCACCACTTGGTCCATGGGGTACCTGAACTTAATTCGGGGATTAATCTCACTCTCACTCCATCTCTCACTTCAGCTTCATGCCAATGCTAATCGGTGATTTAGATTGGTCGTTAAGGGCCGGGGTCCTATAGTTGACCCTCTGCAAGAACCAGGGGCAATCCAGCCAATCGGGAGTTACCCGATCACTCGGGTAGAAGCAGCTCCCACAAAACGGATCGCAGCCGTCCTGGGGGAAGTAGCCCTGGGCGAACTCTTTGGAGAGCCCCACCAACTCGCTCCTGAGGGCAGGTCCAAAGACTCAGGAATCCATGTGGGTCTGTCGCCTCGTTTTGCAGGGGACCCCCCGCCCAGAACAAAGAAAAGAAGAAAAAAAGTGCTCTTCCAAAACATGCCCGCAAGACCCCGCAAGAACAGACACACCCATGAGAGAGGCCATGCTAAACGGTTCCTTTGCAGGATTTTGCGCGATTTAACCCCATGTCCCGCGCGAACCTCCTGTGAATCCCCCGGGTTGGACGTTTCACGTTGCGAGCCCGAACCAGTCGGTCGCCCGAGGCCGGTGCCCGGGCATTGAGTAGCCCAACTGCTGGAACAGCACCTTCAGCCTACGGCTGAAAGCAACGAGCTGGGATGTTCCAAAGTTAAGGACCTCCTTTTGGCTGGTGCCCAAGGGGACCAGAAGAAACTCCAGCGATCTTTGCACTGTGGACGGACGAAATCCATTTCGCACTACTTTAAAACCATGACAAGCCAGTGTTTGTTGGTATTTACAGGGGAACCATGATTCCAGGGCTTTTGAGGTGGTGCAAAATTTCGTCCATCCACAGTAGGGATCTCCTATAAAGATAAGGAAACAAGGCCATCCGCAAGTCCTCTAAGGGCCGCGCCTTTTGGCGGTGACAGGTCCGGCCTGGCAGAACATTCAGCATGGCCGCGCAAGCCGAAGATCTCTTTTGTTTTACTTTTGCCTGGTGTGGCCATAGGTGTCCTTTTGGGTTAGTTTGGTCGGAAACAGGTGGCACTGGCTTGAATATTGTTTGCATAAAATTTGATATATATGCAAAATTAGATGGGTGTTGTTCCATTTGCAAGGGCCTTCTGCTTTATCAAAGGACACCTATGGGTGTAGTGTACCGATACCCTCCACAGGAAAGTAGTCTTTCTCCAGGGGGTCTGTGGCAGAATATCTGCTCTTGTGTCCGGCTGGATAACCCAAAAGGAAAAATCACAGCAGTTGATACTGCCTGCCTTACCTTTGCCCACTTCGTGCTAGGGTTCCCGATTCTTTGCCTGAAAACCTCACCCCTGCCAAGGGAAACTCACTTTAGGCGATGTTTGACACTGCCCCTGCCAGCTCCATCAAGGTTCATTCCTCGGATCTTGGATTTGTGTGCCGGGTACGGCTGCCTCCGCATCGTGCTAACTCCTGCAGCAAAGAGCTACGGTGAAGAAGCTGCCGTGAAACATTTCCAAGAAACACAGGGATATATTTTAAAATGAGCGTGGCACTCATAATGCAAAGTACAGATCACTGAGATGCATGTACGTTGTCAAACTGCGACCCCCCTCAATACAACCGCCCGCACCCCTATTTGTTGCCCAGTCTGTTAAGCATGGCATATTTTGAAGACGCTTGCTTGCTTGCTTGCTCGCTCGCTCGCTCACTCACCGACTGACCACTTTCACCCACCCACTCACTGACTCACCCACTTGATGACAAACCTCGAACCCTGCCGTCCAGCCTGGACTTCCTGGTCAGCTGGCGCGATGCCTCGCATGCGCTCATGCTCAACCCTACCGGCATCCGTGGAAGGGTTCCTTACCAAACAAAATCCGATTTGAAAAACCCGTGGGCATGCTGAAGTCAAAGATGTTGAACCCACTGAGGGCTGTCAGGGCATTCGCGGATAGGCGCCTAACAACATCTTGCTTTCTTTCCGGCTTCCCTATTCAAATCCCGTCCAACAGCATATCCGAAGTTTCGAGAACCCCACCCCGCCCCCCCGCCCCCACCCCACCTGAACCCGGCAGCTTCCCACTTCCAGCCTGCCGAGGCCTCCGAGTTCACCCGCTGGATCTGGCGAACTCGGAACTTGCCGCTTGGGGCGGTGTTGTTTCTGGGTTTGGGGGAGTTGTGGGGGGGTTTTGGGGGAGTTTGGTGCATTATGTTTAATTTTTTTTATTTTTTTGGGGCGGGGCGGGGCGGGGGGGGGGTTGGGGGGGGGGGGTTGGGGGGGGGGGGGGTCCGAGTAGCGCACGTGGATTACCGTTCCCCTGGCATGGAAGCTGAGGTTTGGGACCTGGTCCCTTGAAATGGAAAATGGTGTCTTCCAGGACCCTCCTGTCAGGTTCCACGTTCATAGGTCTCCAGCTTTTGTGGGACTGGAAGATCGATTTCCTCAAGGGACGTGCCACGTTGGGAGGGAACGACCGAAAAAGCAACTAAACAACTTGTCGTCCAGTGGGGGTTGCTTTTTGCTTGCCGACACTGTCTGCCCAAAAAGAAGATCGGGTCCAGGAACGCTTGTGGCTCTATTCCTTTGGATGGGGTTGCTTCATGGCATCCACCGTTTCAAGAGAATGTTGAGGATGTCACTGTAAAGAGCTGGGTCCTACCCCACTTTCCATCATTGTAAACCTCCAAGTGGGGTATGCAAGGTTGCTCACAACTTTCTAAGACTTCTGCCCCTTTTAAGGGCGCGTAAGGCGGAGCGTCTCGTAAGTTCTGCCTCCGGACTCTCCTGCAACATCTCCTGAATGCATTCGAGCTCCTGCCGGTGCCTGAGGCGGGGACACAAGTGTTGAAAGTGTTACACCTTTGTCTTCCAGTTTGAGTGTCAATGTTGACCCCATCATCAAGCCCAGTTGATTAATAGGGGGTGTCTTCCCCTCCAAACAGTACGGATTCCCCACTAAGCCCAGGGCCCTATCTTGCATTCCTCAACGTAACGAACACAAAGTGCATTGCAAGCAAGCGCCTCAAGGAACCCCATTGACAGCCTGCTCGCGAAAAACTAGATGTCTCGCCGAGCGAGCGGCAACCCAGCCATGACTCGCATGAACTCCTCCTGACACGCGGCACAGACATCTCGATCCTCAGCACTCAGAAAGTGCTTGGCACCCATGGCTGTAAGCCACATAAGGGACTTACAACCATGGGACGTGGGCCTGAACCATGGCTACTAATCAGATTTCTGAGCATCCTGCCCTTTGAAGTACCCACCCAACCCGAAAGGCACTGCTCCTGGCAAAGGGACGCGCTCCCCACCATGCCGATGCCGTCCATCTTCTCCAGCACCTCAACACAGCTAGCAACATAGGTCCTACCACCAGACATGGAAGTTTGCGCCGTGGGTTTCTTTGGGCTGACCAAAGGCTTTTTCTTTTTGCGGCGGTGAGGACGGCTGTTTCGCTAGCGCTACTCTTAATATATACTTCAGGGTGAATCCACAAAAGCCACATCTAAACCGCTATCTAGAGTCCTATTCTAAAACAATTTCAGAATAATAGTTCTAATCATTTCCTATTATAGAAGCATCTACTTAAGTGAAAGCGTTCTAATTGAATTAACTAGAAGAACCACCCACTCGTCCCTCCTTATCAGATTCTATCTAGAGTCTGATTGAAATATTATCAGAACCCTAGCTACGTGGAAAGGAGTTCCTCCTTAAATTCAGACCCAACATAACACTTACAATTGAGCTACTTAGAAGAAGCGGCCAGCTTGTCTTGCCTCACTAGGAGCTGGTCAAGGTGTAGTGAATGTCTTACCAAGTTCTTATTTAAATTCCCATGAACAATTCGATGGACAGGAACTCCTGTTTAGAATTGGAAGGAATTCCAGTTTACCATCTACCTCAAAATAATGATTCTACTTGACCTCTGGGTGGATTTTTGTTTGGAAACAAGCTCCTATTTAACAGAAATAATTCATAATTGAAATCCTACTTGGAAGGGAAGTACTTATTAAACTCAAGTTCAAACACTGACTTTAATCCGAATCAAAACCCCATTTAAACTTAAAGCCTCGCAACTTAAAAGCTGCAACCCAATTGGAATGAAATCTGCAGTTGACCATTGGCGTTACTGAGTTGTTCACTCCTGTTAAGGGTTGCACATGACAATAAACCACCAGCTTGTCTTCCTTATGGTATGATATACTTAAATTCCAAATTCTACTTGGAAAGGACATCCTACTTTGATTCTCATTCAACACAATATGTTACATTAAAATCCCATTGAAATATGATTTACATTTAAACCGTTGCTGTCTGAAACTTGCAAACCGATAGGACCAACACGACATTTTACTTGAGTTTCTAAAGGGTTTGTCTCTCCTTTCAAAGGGGCAGGCAAATTAGAAGCATCGGCCAGCTTGTTTCCATAGAGGATTCTACATGAGTTCTAATCCAGTTCTCATGCTAAACAGGAACGAAAAGAAAAATGCTAAGAGAATTGCTGCACAAAGCAGCAGATGTAACAGCTCCTCTCATTGTTTTTGAGCTTCACACATGCCATCGGCTCCTCGGATCCATGTCAACCAGATCATACTCTTTGATCGGAAGGGAAAGGGGGATGCAAACACAACGTTTTACCCCAGTCCACCACTTGCTTCCAGAAGGTACTCCGCAAGGTCGGCACATGTTTTCTAATTTACCAGAGCTCGAACATCAACTAAGAGGTGAAATTGGAAGAAACATCGAAAAGGGGTAAAGACCCCCGTCCCCAATCCCCTAAACAAAAAGCAAGCGGGAAAAGAACAAATTAGAAGAAACGATTCGAAAAATGGGTTTGGAAACAACAAACTGGACCCCCCATCCGTCAGCGGGAGGGGGGAGAGAAAAAAAAAAACGAAATGGCCTGCCAGAGCTCCACCTGGTAACCAAGCCAACGCAGGGCATGGAAGAGCTTCAGCACAGAGATCTGCGCCTCCTACTTTTCGGCGAAACCGCATTCCCCCCAGAAAACTGGCAAGCTCCTCTTCGGCAGGGATCCTTACATTATACACCTGAACATTGCCTTGTCTTTATTCAATAGCTGCCAGCCAAAAAAGAGACCGGTCCTCGTCCTCAGCCGTGGAGCCTTGGCCGACAGTGGCTTCTTTTGTGGGCTACTCGTGGCACCGGTCCACCCGTCCAAGACCCAGGCTGTCGTCCTCAATGAAGCCACTCTTCGAGAACTGGGCGAGAGGGCGCGGGGCATTTTGGGGGCACTTCGCATCTCAGCGAGGCTTCCGCATGAAACTGCACAGCTGTTGGCCTTTTCAAGAGGACCAGCTGCCGGCCTTTTCAAGAGCACTGTAGCTGTTCCAAAGCCCTCCTGTCAGCTTCCATGATTCCTGGAAGAACGGTAGCGGCTGGAAACTGTTTGAAGGCCAAAGGGGCTTAAATCATTGCGAGCATCAATCGTTCAGAACCAGGCTGCCTGGTTGCTATCCTAACTTCCCCTTTCTCAAATATCCACCCAAAACCCGGAGAAAGGGGCTTGTTCTTGAAAAAAGGGCCGTGGCTGAAAAGGGAACCCCTAGACAACACACCCGCAGAAAACCTGACCCACAGCACGTCGCCCACCCCCTCGGGCCTTCTCCGTGGAGAAGCGCAGGAAGGCGTTCTTCAGGTCCACCTGAAGCTCCGGGACCCGCCTCACCCGGATGAAATCGGAGGGATCCCTCCGACAGTCAAAGGGACCCAACTCGGACCCAGAAAGTCGGACTCGCCGGATGTTCTCCTCAATGAAGCTGATTCATTGGCTAAACCTTTCTTCGAAGGGAACAACCCTGACGCATGCACGTGCAAACCTTGTGGCAGCAGTGTAGGACATGTTGCAATCAATGTGAGACGGTTCATGGACGAAATCTATGCCAAACACCAGTTCGCAGGGATGAAACCCGATAAATAAAATTATATCATGTCATGGGACAAATCCTATCAACTGGTGCAGGCTGTTGCCAACCGTACTACTGCAGAACGGGAGGTTCCACATGGCTCCACTACTCAGGAACCCGTAGTAGCTTGGACTTGTGGCTCGGTCTACCTGCGCCACCCCAAACCTCCAAACCACGAGAGAAGAGGCGCCGACCCTCTCCGCGTTGATGAAGCCATGGGAAGCACGGAGGTTCTCCATGAAGTGGTAGAGCCCATCAAACCTCAGCCACTCCAGCCCCTTTCTGTCGCCCTCCTCCTGCCAACGGGCGGCTCTTAAATAAGGGAACCCCCTCTAAGGGTGGTTTCCCGTAGGTTTCGCCGTGAAACAACGCCAAGAAGGGTAACCCGAGATGAAAAAACACACACACACACACCCAAGGGAAGTCGGTGCCCCGCAACAAACATACAACTAAAAATCAACACAAGGCCGGCCTGCGCATGTCAACAAGTTGCACACGCCAAGTGGCAGTACCTTACCTTGCCGCGCAAACATCGAATGATTTCTAGGGCATCAGCGTGAAGGTTGAGCAGAGCGGCCGGATCCCTGCGCAGACCATTTCCTTTTGTTTGTTGCCTTGGCTTAGTCAGGGCCAACTCAATCCCTGCCTGCAGCCAGGTCCAGATTCACCAGGTGTACCTCGGCATCTGCTTGCTGCGCCTGGCAAATTTGGAACCTCTGCCCCTCCCTGAGGCGCGCACTAATGCAGCGCACTCCTGGCGTGCTTGCCGCGCTCCCCTTCCCCCCCCCCCCCGGGCCTTTCTGTGACACCACAGCGGGATGCCCATCCCCATAACAAGTTCACTTTTAAGGCGATTTCCTCAGCATCACAGAACAGGGAAGGATGCAATTGATTCAGCTTAAACAGCAAAAACCAGCTGAGTTAGAGGCAACACACACAGACTGTGCGAGTCATGTCTCCTGCACCACCTCAGGCGGCACCTCCTCATAGCCCAGGGTGCGCAGCAGCCGGGGAATGTCTTCCAGCCGGACAGCCTCGTTCCTTGGGGAATGATGGCCATGACAGTGACAGCCTCAACATGACCCAGAATTTCCCTTTCGGCCCCTCAACATGTTCGCTTGGAGCATGGCTACATATGGCTACGCTGGGTTCCCTGAAATATAGCAAGGGGACGCAATGTGCCACGGTCAAAATTGGCCAATTCGCGGATCGGCTCCCTATGTCAATGAGCAAAGCCAAAACCCGTATTTTGACGGAACCCCACATAGGCAGCGGCCCAGTCGTTGAGGTATTGAGCTGAATGAGCTTTTGCACCTTACAGGCGGTCTCACTCGCGCTCGGACCAGTGTCTTGAGCAAACGCCCCACCTCGTTGTCCCGGTACTTCTTCATGAACACCAAGAACTCGTGCCTGGAAGACTTCCACAAAACTGGGGATCTCATATTTTGGGCCGCTTTCCGCACAAATAACTCAAATGGCCCATGTCTAAACCAACTTCTCCCCTGTCAGACAAACCCAAACAGCCTCAAAAAAAGGAAGCCATTCTCGGGAGATTGCTCTGTATGTATCCCCCTTGAAACATGGGGACACAAAGGGAACCCTACCCATGGGCCACCCAACCCCCACCTCTCCCCCCAACTCGTCGGCACTTCGGATCCGAGGCAGGCGCTGGTTCAGGCCCTTCTTGCGGCCCACCTCGAGAGCCAGCTCTTCCACCTCCTGGCGGAGTGTCCCGCACGCCCCAAAATGAGCCAAGAGCCGAAGGTAGAAGCCGCCCAGATGCGGCTCTGTGGGTGTTATGTGTGCTTTTTTCTGCGACCATTTTGGAGGGCCCCCAAAAAGATACACACCCATGTGGGCAAGCAATTAAAAGGGTGCGGGGGGACTAAACCAAGATGGGCGGGAAGTGTGCCACCTACTTTCACCCAACCTCGCTTGCCCCAACCTCGCGCCCAGAAACAAAAATCAAAAGGCCGCAACATGGTCACCAAACTTTGGGGCCACTAAAAAACAACACGAACCCCAAAAGGGGAAAGAAACTGAAAGTTGTCGAAAGTGGTCGATTCGCTGAGCAACCGCTTCCTGAGGCACAGACGGCGTTGTCCACTGCGAAGCCCTGCCAGTACAGTGCCAGGCGAACTTCGTCGGCCTGGGCTCGGTCCCATTTTGGGCTGAAAAGGAACACGGGTGGCTCGTCTTTGTTTGGGGGGGCCCTTTTGCTTCAGTTTTCCGTTCGCTTCCCTTTAAAATTCCAAAAAAGAGGTACCAACTTGTCGTGGCAACACGGCTTCGCACAACTCGATTGGCTGTGCTGCTTCGAAGTGACCCGTCGCGTGTGATCGCAACAGCCAAGGTGTATATGTGTGAGTACTGTGTGTGTGTACTGTGTGTGTGTACTGTGTGTGTACTGTGTGTGTGTACTGTGTGTTTACTGTGTGCGAGTACTGTGTGTGTGTACTGTTTGTGCGAGTACTGTGTGTGTACTGTGTGTGTGTGTACTGTGTGTGTACTCTGTGTGTGTGTACTGTGTGTGCTGTGTGTACTCTGTGTGTGTGTGTACTGTGTGTGTGTACTGTGTGTGTACTGTGTGTGTGTACTGTGTGTGTACTCTCTGTGTGTACACTGTGTGTGTGTACTGTGTGTGTACTGTGTGTGTGTACTGTATGTTTACTGTGTGTGTGTACTGTGTGTGTGTGCTGTGTGTGTGTGTACTGTGTGTGTACTGTGTGTGTACTGCGTGTACTGTGTGTGTGTACTGCGTGTACTGTGTGTATACTGTGTGTGTGTACTGTGTGTGTGTGTGGGGTGTGTGTGTGTACTGTGTGTACTGCGTGTGTGTGTACTGTGTGTACTGCGTGTGTGTGTGTACTGTGTGTCTAGTGTGTGTGTGAACTGTGTGTGTAGTGTGTGTGTGTGTTGTGTGTGTAGAGTGTGTGTGTAGTGCGTGTGCGTGTGTGTGTAGTGTGTGTGTAGTGTGTGTGTGTAGTGTGTGTAGTGTGTGTGTGTGTGTAGTGTGTAGTGTGTGTGTGTGTGCTGTGTGTGCTGTGTGTGTTGTGTGTGTTGTGTGTGTTGTGTGTGTGGTGTGTGTAGTGTGTGTAGTGTGCGTGTGTGTGATGTGTGCGTAGTGTGTGTAGTGTAGTGTAGTGTAGTGTAGCGTAGTGTAGCGAAGCGTAGCGCAGTGTAGTGTAGTATAGCATAGTGTAGTGTAGTGTAGTGGTGTGTGGTGTGGTGTGGTGTGGTGTGGTGTGGTGTGGTGTGGTGTGGTGTGGTGTGGTGTGGTGTGGTGTGGTGTGGTGTGGTGTGGTGTGGTGTGGTGTGGTGTGGTGTGGTGTGTGGGTGGTGTGGTGTGGTGTGGTGTGGTGTGGTGTGGTGTGGTGTGGTGTGGTGTGGTGTGGTGTGGTGTGGTGTGGTGTGGTGTGGTGTGGTGTGGTGTGGGGTGGGGTGGGGTGGGGTGGGGTGGGGTGGGGTGGGGTGGGGTGGGGTGGGGTGGGGTGGGTGGGTGGGTGTGGGTGGGTGGGTGGGGGTGGGTGGGTGGGTGTGCGTGCGTGCGTGCGTGCGTGTGTGTACTGTGCTTGTGTGTGTGTGCGGCCAACTGGGGCACTTTCCAAAACGAAGGGTTCAAGGCAACTGCGCGAAGCTGCCAAACTCCACCGAGTCATGCCCAAGCCCATGCGCAGCAATCTGCTCAGCTCATTTTTGGCAACGCTTCAGCTGCAAATCGGCATCCGTTCCGCCTGCGAAAGGAAGCGGCAGGGGTATACTGGCTCCTGTTGTCTTCCTATCCCGCCCCCTTATGGATGTTTTAAGCCCCCTTGGCATTTCCCTGCCTTTCTTTACTCTCTGTGAGCAAAAGACGCGAAGGGAACGTGTGCCTGTGCGTGTGAGAGAGAAGGAGGCCCCCCCTGGCAGCCTTTGCCGGGAGCGGCCCTTCTATCGAATAGCTTCGAGCCTGCAACGATCCTCTAGCCGGCTCTTGCCAGGTAGGCCAGCGTCCTTAGGTGTCACGAGTCACGATGTACTGCATTGACAGTTCTTCAAAGTAGAGGACCTCTGCAAATGAGTGCCAGTGGTCTCCATCGACGGATGCTTCGGAAGGAGAGCTTCCAGCAAAGATGCCAGTGCTCGTGGTGCGGAATAGAGAATCCAAAGCACTCTTCATTCACTTGGTACCCTTAGAAGGAGTAGAGCACTACTGTTGCCTTTGTGTTTCCCTTTGAAACCATCCAAGAGGCGCTGTCATCGTGAACAAACCCCCATATTGGCATACTGGCTCTTCAAAAGTGTCACGATGCAACTACATGCCTGCTATTCCACAAAGCCAGCGAGCGTGCAACACCTTTTGCCGCGCTCAGGTGCAAACGCAATTGTGATTAGCACCTGTACAAAAAATAGTCTAGTAGTAAGTCTTTCCTCCACCCCACTTCTCGGGGATGGTCTGGTTCTGGTAGAGGATGTAGGCCGACATGTCGTACAAGTCCTGCAGTGGCACAAACACTTGAAACGGGATGCATACTCTGGATCCTGCCAGATTGGCAACCTACATGCCAATCATGCAGTCCTGCTGCTTCATGGAGCGCATCTTCGGCCAAATGTCGCCACCCTTGATGGACGGATGGACCTCCGAGATGTCCTGAAGGCATCTTTGCAGTTCTTCAAACTTGCCAAAGATTAGCAAGGGTAGCACAAAGGCATGCATACTAGGCTGTTCCAAAACTGGAACTAGCCCAACATGGCCAAACCTCATCCACTCCGCCCTCTGCCCAGGCCTTGAGCCCATCATAGGTGGTGGGATTGTTGATGTAGTCCACAATGCCCTCCACGGTGGCTCGGTTCGGGGTAGCTCCGCTCAGCTCCTCAATGGCCAGGCCAACGTTCTGGTTGGTGCGGGTGCCGCCGCCGACGTGGCAAGAAGCGCAGGCCGCGTTGAACAAACGCTTGCCGCGCACAACCTGCTCCTTGGTCATGGTGGTGGTCTTGCCCTTGTCATCCACCTTTGCAACTTGCACGGGTTTGCCACAGGATGGAGTGAGCTACAGCATGCTACAACCCACTACCTCATGTGCCGTGGCCCAGCAGCCCACACGACAAACCAGACTACCCCATGCCACTGCGACACCCCTGCAGTGGAAGGATCCGAATGCAAGAATCCTCATGCCATAACCAAATCAGCCAAGGGGCCGGGATCACCACATCCTCCACATCTGCCATGGCTGGCTTGCCGGCAGCCAGCAGCACCAGGCCCAACACCACACCACCCCCGAAGCGCAGCGCAGCGCTGGCAGGGCTGTCCGCCTCGATCTTCGGCAACTCCTGGGCTCCCCTGGCTGCAGGGCCCTGACCCTGAAGGTCGCCAACTGCCGGGAGCGCCACGAAGACCAGGTGCAACGAAGCCAGGCCCATGCAGAAGCCCAGCAGCGCATGCAGCGAAGAGGAGGCCATGGTGACAAACGCGGCAATGCCTGGACACCTGCCCAAACTGGAGCAAAAGAGGCAACGCCGGCTAGCCGTTGCCACGCTCAAGAATAACAACAAATGGCATGGACAACAGCCACTCCCGGATCTGCTGCAAACGATATACAATACAATGAAATACAATACAATACAATACAATACAATACAATACCGATGTCCATCAGTGCTCAACCGCGTTCTGCATCGGAGTATGCTGCAATATTTTGCCCACAAGCGCTCGCTCTTGGGTCGTTGTGGCCAACTAAGCTACGCAGCTGCTGAGCCTCTAAAACAGCAGCGGCAGAGGCAAAGGGTCAAAACCCGCCTCTCGCCATGCCACTGACTTTGTAGAAGCGAAGGCAGATCCGATGCAAAAGCTCATGAAGCTCAGTAGTAGGTCTTTCCTCCGCCCCACTTCTCGGGGATGGTCTGGTTCTGGTAGAGAATGTAGGCGGACATGTCGTACAAGTCCTGCGGTGGGAACAAGGCATCGGCTGAGCAACTCACTCAAACAGGCTTCCCCACCCTTGAGCAAAGTACAAACATTGCTTGGCCATGGTCATGCGTGGCTCACGTGAATCTATAATAATGACTGGGCTCATTCGGGGCCGTCGGCAAGCTCTGTCCTGCTGCTTCATGGATCGCATCTTCGGCCAAATGTCCCCACCCTTGATGGACGGATGGACCTCCGAGATGTCCTCAGGCATCTTTGCGGGTCTTGGAACTTAGCAAAGATTGACAAAGGGAGCACCAAGCCATCCAAAACTGGAACTAGCCCAACATGGCCAAACCTTATCGACTCCGCCCTCTGCCCAGGCCTTGAGCCCATCATAGGTGGTGGGATTGTTGATGTAGTCCACAATGCCCTCCACGGTGGCTCGGTTCGGGGTAGCTCCACTCAGCTCCTCAATGGCCAGGCCAACGTTCTGGTTGGTGCGGGTGCCGCCGCCGACGTGGCAAGAAGCGCAGGCCGCGTTGAACAAACGCTTGCCGCGCACGACCTGCTCCTTGGTCATGGTGGTGGTCTTGCCCTTGTCATCCACCTTTGCAACTTGCACGGCTTTTCCACAGGATGGACTCAGCTACAGCATGCTACAACCCGCTACCGCACGTGCCGTGGCCCGGCAGCCCGCACGACAAACCAGATTACCCCATGCCACTGCGACATCACGCTCCCTGCAGTGGAAGGATCCTCATGCCATAACCAAATCAGCCAAGGGGCCGGGATCACCACATCCTCCACATCTGCCATGGCTGGCTTGCCGGCAGCCAGCAGCACCAGGCCCAACACCACACCACCCCCGAAGCGCAGCGCAGCGCTGGCAGGGCTGTCCGCCTCGATCTTCGGCAACTCCTGGGCTCCCCTGGCTGCAGGGCCCTGACCCTGAAGGTCGCCAACTGCCGGGAGCGCCACGAAGACCAGGTGCAACGAAGCCAGGCCCAGGCAGAAGCCCAGCAGCGCGTGCAGCGAAGAGGAGGCCATGGTGACAAACGCGGCAATGCCTGGACACCTGCCCAAACTGGAGCAAAAGAGGCAACGCTGGCAACAGTCAAAGAAGGAGTGCAACAAAGGCGGCCCTGCAGGAGCTGTCCCAACAAGCCCCCTCTTGGCTTATGCACACAGTGTGACACATACATTGACAGCTGGCCAGCTATGTTGCAGAGCATCTTGTAGGTATGCTTTGGGTGGCCCTTCCG